TGTCCAAGTCGGCTTGAATGCTTCGAAGGTCTTTTTGGACACAATGACAAAGGAAATAACCCGTGGCCAAGGGATACCTGCCAAGGTCGTCAAGTATAAAACATGCCACCTGCGGGGCTTCTTGGGGGGGCAACGTTGCGAGCGTCAGTGTTCTAAATGACAAGTGGCTTGCCTACCCGTCCACCAAACATCCCTAATGCATGGTTCCTAGGATACATCCAGAACCCACCCGCTTTACAAGTCAACCCTCTGAACAAGCTGAGACACCCTATGCGCATTTTCAAGTGTGCCAGGACTCTCAGGTTGGTTTGAGCTGGGGAATTGGCACATGTCACCAGCTATTTTGGCTGCTCCCCTTAAAAAACAAGGGTATGTTTGCAACCACGCATGTGCTCCAAAACACGCCGACAGCGCCTGCAATCGCGTGCTTTCGAGCGCTGTCGTTAAACTGCAAGCTCTCTGAACAGTCCGCTCCAAAGCATTCTGTGAGCTTGCCTGCTTTGGAGGATAGTCAATGTTACCCCTCATGAATGCCACCACAAAGCCATTGGCAATTGCCAGCGCTTCAAATAGAGAGGGACATATGGCAAGTCAACAGCACCAGGGCAACTATTCAACCCCACGTGCGCCACCCTCAGAAACCCCGCAAACGGTCGCAATGTTTGCCGAGCATCTTGGGCTTTCGAACGATGGCGCGCGCGATGGCTACACGCTGCTTCTGCCCCCCCGAGATGCGGGCCGCACGCTCCCCGGGGTGCGTCTCATAGCCCTTCCTGGGCAAGCGCAAAAAGGCGGGCTCGTTTAAGTTCTTAACATGGAACCCAAACGTGGAAAGCAAAAGCAAACAATAAAAGTTGTATTTCAAGATGGTGATGTCCGCCGACATTGCGGCGGCGTGTCGGATATCTAAGTTATTTACCTGTATGGTTTTGCACATCCATACTTTGGATGGTCAAATCCTGCACCATTTTGAAACCATGGTTGAAACCATTATTTGTTGGCATTTACGGAGCAGTCATCATTCCAGGGTGTCTTCGGTGGTGCAGGATATCGTCCATCTACGGTAGGGCCAAGATTCGCCAGGTCAGAGATAAAGCTGTGAGCATTGGCGCGCTGTGCTGCATCCTCGATATCCTTCCAGGGTGCACCTTTGGCACTGCCGTAGGCGATGTTGTCGCACAATGACCTCTCGAAAAAATAAAAACACAAAAAAGTGTCTTTTTTGAGGGGCCTCTTAGTATTCCTTTAAAGAAATGATGTGTTCTTTAGGGCACCTTTTCGGGTCCAAATCAGGGCTGAGTCTCTTTGCTCAACGCGTCAAAATCACTTCTAACATCTGGAAATGAGTTGCCGTGTCCCAAGTATTGCGCTCAAGATTTCATCAAACATTCATAACTTGTTAAACAATCAACGAAAACTGCTAGTCTCCGGATTCTACATGAAACTTCCATGATTCGGAAGATCCAGGGGGTTCTTTTTATCGGACCCGTTCTTTCCCACCCCTGCAATCCACCCGGTGGATCGGATCCGAGCATGGGCCTATCGAAGAGCACCGGCTCTTGCTCCACGAAGCCGATCTGGGCCCGGAGCCAGCGGATGTTCAAACCTCGGCTCGGAGTCGGGTCCAAGCCCCGGCCGCGGGTTTGGAGCGGAAACAACAGGACGCCAGGCCGGCCATCCAACCGGGTGGAACCACTGTTTTGATTCTGCCTAGATATCCAAGCCAAGCTGCTGCGTTTTTCGGTCACTGTTGATGGTTTTCGGGGTGAAGCGCATGGAAAAAGGCAGCCACTGGCCACTGGCGGTCCAGGGGCTCTCTTCACCCCCCCGAAAACACATCGGGATTGCGAAAGGCTCTTCCAGTGGATCAAAGCTATGAGTTCTGTGAATCAATGGGATGTTGGCTTGAACCAAACACTCATGTTCTATTAATTCTATGGACCCCTTTGAAAAGGGGCCCCTGTCTAGTGGCGATTCCTGGCTGCGGGGTCTATTGAGTTGATTGGTCAGTGTCAACATACTGCCAAAATGGGCCTTGAGCAATCAGGACCGAGCTTCAAGGGAACCATTGCTTCAGTATTTTTCTTTCACCCTGTGAGAGTCTCTGAATTTGTTGCCCTTTGGCTTCCCTTCAAAGCTTCCCAGAACGGTCCTGGAGCAAAGCGACTCGGAGAACTGAGCTGTATGAAGGCAATCACATGTTTGCGGCAAGGATTCTGGACAAGTTCTCATTTCCCACTCACCCACTCCATGTTCAATAGCGCCAAGTAAAGGACCATGGCCCAGCTCGTTTCCCCCTAAGCTCTATAAACCCTCACGCGCCCAGAAGCTCCGGTAGTCCACGCCATCCAGCGTGATGCTGCCGGCCGTGGGGTCGTAGTGCCGCAGCAGTAAGCGCCCCAAGGTGGTCTTCCCGGCCCCGCTCTCCCCCACCAGAGCCACCACATCACCCGGCTTCGCCTCGTCTAACTCTTGCAAACGCTTTGGACAGAGAGTCTTTTTGTAGGAATCGGACCTCCCATGGCATGGCGCAACGGTTCTCCTTTTGGTCTCCCTTTAAAAGCACTAGAGGGGTACATTACCCTAAAAAAGACAGACTCACTTGTGTTGTGTTCCATGTTTGTAGGGTGGAAGGGTCTGGTTGATTGTTCAGGCAACCTCCTTTTCTCGGTTGCTTTCTGCTCCACTGCTAAAAGTGTAACTTTTAGTGGTGTAAGTCCTAACATCCAAGAAAATGCACTCAAGTTTTGGTTCCCTAGAGGCCCCATGGTTTGGTTGTTTAAACTTGTCTGGCAACCAAACCGAGCCTCCAGGCGCATGGAGTGCAAGACCTGGCGAAAAAAGAAGAAAAAAAAGGCGGCACTCCCGCAGTCGGTTTCGGCGTGGCCGGGGGCCGTTCAAGGAAACCCAACCGAAATGCTTCCATTTCCCAGCTTAAATTTGGCAACCGAGAACACCACCGACAAGAGGAGAATGGCTCGTTACCTACGAGTAAATGGGATCCACTGGGTTTGTGACTTTCCGCTTCCCTCTGATTGGCGGTTTGGAGCCCGCTGATTTGGTGGTGTTCCGGGGTGGGTAAACCCATTTGCCCTCTACAAGAGCCAGAGGTTTAAATCCAAATCCAAACCACCAATATATTGGGGCATCTGAAACTTTGTGGAAGAGTCCTTGCCGTCCCATACATAAAAATCGTGGTGGCGCCAGGAATTGGCACGGCTTGACGACAAGGAGCCCATGTTGCTGTCAAGGGAATCCTTGTCTGGAGATACAGTGTTGAAAAAAGGAAGGTCTGAGCAACCAGACGGAGCAAGCATAGGACACCATCCAAAAACATACTCGGGTGTGGCTTGAATGAATCGCTGGTTTGCATGGTGCACATAGAGTTGCAGTGTGGAAACAGCGCGTTGCTGTTCTAACTACAGCGTCTGCCTGCTCTTGCGGGCTACATTAGGGAGCAACCACACCTAATGACACTACTATTAGGCTCGTCTTTTGTGCGGTTTGTCCAGGCAAGCTGTGGCTGGAAGCACGTTTTTGGCTTAAAGCCTTGAGCTACAGTTGCAATCGCCCGGCAACATAAACCTTCCAATTCATCCTCTAAAAGTCAAACCGCAAGGTTTGGTTTCAACATTTTGAAGCAGTCCTGACTTCTTAGGGCTTTCCCATTTACAGGCACCTCCCTTGAGAAACCCCCTGAGGCATATCATGGCATACTCAAAGCGTGGTATTCAAGGGGGTCCACCCAAAACCAGAGAAACAGAGACCCGAACCTGTTTATCCCAGACCCGAAACAAATGCACTCTTGTTTGGTAGGTAAATTTAAAGGGCATCCTCAACACAAATTGGAAAGGAGGTAAACCATTGGGTGTCAGGGTTATTGGGAGCTCGTAAACTAAAGCCAGGTTTTGATTGCCCCTGGTCCAAGCCATTGAAACACGCACGCCACATGGATTCGAGGCCCAACAACATGTGATTTCCCTTGCCCTGCTAAAACCGAGCCTAAAAAGGGTACATGTGCTAATTAACCACCCCGTTTGGCACCCCTGCACCAGGGGCTGGGGTCTAGCTGTGACACAAATTGTGCTACTAAGCCTCTGCACTTCAGTCGCAAGGTTGCCATGGGAACAGGGGCTCCATTTTCTGGCGATTGGTTTTAAAGGAAAATCCTTCCCCAAACAAACGTTGAACACTTGATCAGAGTCAGACCCCTTGCATCAACAAATATGTATTTTTGCTGCTTGAATCGAAGCATGCAAAACATCCAAGAAGGCACACAAGTCTTGAAGCAAACAAGGGTTGAGAAAAGGTCAGCTAAGCCTGGCATTGAAAACAGGGCTCGCAACCGACGGGCGGTCGCCTGGTGGTCCGGTCGCCCCGCATAGGCAAAGGAGAGGCCCTTGATGGCCAAATGCCCGGAGCAATGAATGGGGCGCAGGCCCCCGTCAAAGGGGATGTCTGGGCGCCTCACAAAGAATTGGGTCGGACAACGGGAGCCATTTTAGGGGCTGTGCGGTAAAGGCCGGGCACCTACCAGCTCCAAAAAATGGACGGGTTGCGAATTGCTTCCGTATGGAACTCTGCAGAGAGGAGATTTTCTGGTGAGCCCCAGTGGTTGCCCAATTAAATGTCGACTAGCCAACCAACCCAACTAGCCCAACTAAGGGATTTTGTATTCAAAGGAAGCTTAGAAGAAACTCCCGTAGTACGGGCGCCAAGTGAAGGCTAGCCGTCGTAGATGAGAACGGAAGGAGAAGAGAACATAAAAGAAGAGAAGAAAAGGCTGTCATGGAAAAGAAAAAACAATAAATGAGATCGGAAGGAGAAGAGAAGAGAAAAGAAAAGACAAAGAGAGAGGCAACAGAGGAGGTTCAGATTGCGCGACAGGTGCAGCACTAAGAGGATAGAGAGTGCTCAAAGTGAGCGCCCTGTGCGTGTTTTGTGTGTTCCAGCGAAGCGCAAAGCACCTCTGACGCGATGCCGATTTGTTCGCGGGTTCGGAAGGCGAGGAGCGGATTTCGTGGCAGGCACAGCACTTTCGCAAGGTCAAGTGCAGATGTGATGGCAGGCGCAGCACTCTCGGAACACTGACAGATAGATATGTTGAGAGATAGACAGATAGCTAAATGGACGAATAGACACATAAATCTACAGATAGATAGATAGATAGATAGATAGATAGATACATAGATAGATAGACAGACAGACAGATAGATAGACAGATAGATTGATTGATTAGATAGGTACGTAGATAGCAAGATAGATTAATGGGTCGCTAGATTGCTAAGCGGATAAACAGACAGATAGACATGTACATAGATAGAGACAGATAGATAGACAAATAAATAGATAGACCAGCATAGTTTTGGTGCCCTTCAATGAAGGCACTTGACGTGCTTTTGAATCGAGGGCACTTAAGGCCGTGTCGGTGCCCCAAGTGACCCTTTGATTCGTTTGCTAAGTGTCCTTTTTGGCTTGGTAGGGGGTGGGATCCTGTTGAAATCGAACAGCTACCCGTCGAAGTGTGACAACTGTCACATTTGATTAGGCCGACCCGGAATGGCCCAAACATGGCGTTTTGAGAACCAAGGCGTGTCATTCGAATGTCAGTGGGGTGCGAATCGAGGCCACTTACCGGTCACTTACGCTAGAGTCGGTCCTCCCTGCGTGAGTGTCGTTCGGGTGTCGCTGCGGCTCGGTTTGCCCAGACTGGGGAGGGATCTGCTGGGGACCTGAGAGTCTGAGTGCCCTTTAACTGGCTTAAATGGCCAATTTGATTTAGGACCAAGTGACCCTATTTTCAAAATGGATCATAGCACCCACAAAATAAATCGAGGGAGGGCAGTGAACAGAAGCTGGGACATATAGATAGATAGATAGATAGATAGATAGATAGATAGATTAGATAGATAGATAGATAGATAGATAGATAGATAGATAGATAGATAGATAGATAGATAGATAGATAGATAGAGAGAGATATATATTAGATAGATAGATAGATAGATTAGATATATAGATAGATACATAGATAGATAGATAAATAGATAGATAAGATAATATAATATAATATAAGATAAGATAAGATAAGATAGACAGATAAGATACATACATAGATATATAGATAGATAGATAGAAAGATAGATAGATAGATAGATAGATCGATAGATACATTAGATTAGAAAGATAGATAGATAGATAGATAGATAGACAGATAGATAGATAGATAGATAGACAGGATAGATAGATAGATAGATAGATAGATAGATAGATAGATAGATAGATAGATAGATATATAGATAGATTGATGTAGATAGATATAGATATAGATATAGATATAGATATAGATATAGATATAGATATAGATATAGATATAGATATAGATATAGATATAGATATAGATATAGATATAGATAGATAGATAGATAGATAGATAGAGATATATAGATACATAGATTAGATAGATAGATAGATAGATAGATAGATAGATAGATAGATAGATAGACAGATTAGATAGATAGATAGATAGATAGATAGATAGATAGATAGATAGATAGATAGACAGATAGATAGATAATCGATATATATAGATAGATAGATAGATAGATAAGATAAGATAGATAGATAGATAGATAGATAGATAGATAGATAGATAGATAGATAGATAGATAGATAGATAGATAGATAGATAGATAGATAGATAGATAGATAGATAGATAGATAGATAGATAGATAGATAGATAGATAGATAGATAGATAGATAGATAGATAGATAGATAGATAGATAGATAGATAGATAGATAAACAAATAGATAGATAGATAGATAAACAAATAGATAGACAAATAGATAGATCGATAGATCGATAGATCGATGGATCGACAGATCGATATCGGTACATCGATAGATCCATAGATCCATAGATCGGTAGATTGATCGATCGATAGATAGATGGTTAGATGGATAGCTAGATAGATCCTGATAGCTAGATACACAGATAGATAGGTAGGCAATTAGATAGATCGATAACTTGCACAGATATTCTCGGTTGCTTTCTGCTCCCCTGCTAAAAGTTTAACGTTCAGCGGCTTAATGGACAACCCGTGAGTTAGCAACAAAGTATCACAATGCGGCTATTTTTGCACAGCATTTTCTCGACAGATAGGCATTCAGGAAAGAACGAGAGGACATAGGGATAGAGAAAGAAAAAGGGACAGAAAAGATAATGAGAAGGAAAAAGAAGGCAACGGGAAAGATAAGGAAGATAATAAGAAATAAAAAGAGAGAGTGAGAGATTAAAAAAAAAAGAGCAAGGGAAAGAGACACACTGCAAATTATAAGTCGGAAAGAGATATTAATATCAATAAGATAAGGAAGAGAAAGGAACAGAGAGACAGAGGCAGAGAAAGAGAGACACAAAAGACACGAGAAAGACAAAGACAGCTGTAGTTCTTATGTTCTAGAAGCTTCCGACAACCAGCTCTGCCGGCTCTCTTGATAGCAACTAAGAGTAGCCCCTCCAACTTCACATGAAACCAACTTTTAGACCCGCATGCTGGCTCCAAGTGGGTTCCACTTGACACACGCAAAGTGGTTGGACTTCCTATCGTCAATCGGCCCCAAGTCCTGTATGTGGCTTTCTCCCAATGCGTACCCCAACTCTATGAATGGCACAAACTCCCCAACCCCCTTGGCGCAACTCAAAGGACACCTTGAGCGTGCCGATGTCTTTCTCGCGCGCCAGAAAGAAACACGCAAGAGCTTTCGGCGGGTGAACTGACAGTGGATGGAATTTTAGACGAATCACCAACTTGGCCGTTCCAAGAACTAGAAAGAAGAAATCCTTGGACTAACCATCTAACCATCATCACTAAATTGGCCCTCCAAGATAGAAGAAATCCCACGCCTCAGGAGCAGTTGGATGAACTTCCCGGTAGCGGTGATGGTTTGCTTGAAGTTGATCCAGATGTCCGCCAAGTTCTTGAAGCCGTCCTCATGGAGCGAAGTGGGGCTGGCGGGTTTTTGCGGGCACTCGTTTTGGTTGGTTTTGAAGCGAAACCCTCTTGCGTCTTTTGGGGAGGGGGTTTAAAGGGGGTACCTCTCTCAAAAACAGGCAAATCCAAGAAGGTGTGTGTCCAACAATGGGTTCGGACCCCTGAAAATGAGTGTTTCCATTTGGCTTGCCTTTAACAAAGCGCTTGGCTGCCTCACTTTGGTTGCACACGGGGTTATGAAAAACAACTAACCCCCACAAATTGAGGGCGATGACCCCCGCAAATTCAGGTGGCCAAGTGAGTTTCTTTCTGCGTCCCCAAAAACAACCTGGACCTGCTTTGAAGCGGCATCCGTTCCTACATCAGCTGGCTTGGTTGTTTTTGGCTGGCCCACATTCGCATCCGTCAAGGGACCATGTGAAAATACGGTGAACGCCTGGTTTGAGAATTGTTGAACAAGGAATGAGAAGTGCGAAACCTGGCATCAAGGAACGTCATCTCCCTGTTGAAACAACTTTACCTTCTTGGCCATGCTGCAAGGACCTGCCACCCCGATCCTCATAGAGCACCACATACTGCGCAAAAGCAGTGTAGCCGCCGATGGTCAGTTCTCCGGTGATGACTTGATGCATCGCCACCGCCAAAACAACAATATTGCGGACCTTGGACAAGCCGTACTGCGTAAAGCGCAGCACAGTCTCTAAATAGACTGTGGCCTTGATGATCCTGAGGTACCGGTTCAATCTCTCCATGAAGAATTCAGCCTCAAACCGCTCCCCCACGTTGGACTGTACAGTGCGGATGCTTCCCAGCACCTCTATGCAGGGGCCAAGCGCTTGTTCAAGCATGATTGAACCACTCTTGTTTAAGCACTCTCCTTTTGGTTTCGCTCAGCAACAAGTTTCATTTATTGTGGGTTTAGTGGAAAACCCTTTGATTTGCCAAAAAGTTAAAGTCTAAAGATCCAACCCAATAGCAGTCTTGGCGGAAGGAGGAGGTTTCGGCTCATTTGCCTCCACGGCCACGGCATTGGCCTTGGCCATGGCGTGGTTCTGCACCACGCCGTAGTAGCCCACCGTCCTGCCGGTGCGCCGCACCAGCCTTGCTTGACGTTGGAAGGGGAGCAAATGTTTTTCTAGATTTTAGCAGTTCAGTGGTTGGATTTCAACCACTAAACCACAATAAGCAGAAAAATGGATTTCAGCAGTTCTGGATTTCAACCACTAAACCACACTAAGGAAAAATGTAAAAAAATCCCAACAACAACCATGCAGCAGCATGTTGATGGGAGTGATGATGGTGGCCAGGAGCGCCAGCTTGGGGTGGGTGGCAAACATGGCCAAGAGAGACCCCAGGAACCTGGGCCAAATGGGAGCACCAACAGAGGGCTTTCAGGTAGCATTAGAATCTATACAAGCGATACATGACCTCCATATTTCCCATATCTGAAAACCCTCCAAGCGCTTTCAAGGGACAAAACTCGGCCCACATCTGGGCACTGTACGCGAAGAATAAATTGTTGTCCGGCTCTGTCCAATATTTACTCTACCCCGACATAGATATGTGCGACCGCTAAGCCCGTGGATCCATGTACCAAAGTAGCTACTGAAGGGGTTTCAAACCAGAAGCCAGTAGGACAATTGTGAAGGGTTATAGTGGTAACTCGGATCCACTGGCAATATGCTTGTTGCTTTTGATATTGAAATAATAATAAATGAATAAGAAATTAACAATAAATTAATAATAATAATAACAATACTAATAATAATAATAATACAAATAATAATCAAAATTAATAATAATACTACTGATGATATGTCTTAGCGAACCACGTCTTTGGTTCCCTCGGGCTCCCTTTACTCATGTTGACCCCGGATTGAACCCGTCCATGTTGAACGGAGGTGTTGGCCCCAAAAGTGAAGCACCAGTGAAAGGGAACACCCCCAAGATAAATCAACAAGGTTCCTCCTAGTGCGGGACTTTCCTTTCATATTCACTTCGGGTAACTCCGCAAGACCCTGCTAGTCAAAGGCATCCCAAACACGGCCCAGTTTCCTACTAAAAGGGGAACCACCCTTGATTAGCACGGTCAGGATCAGTGTGAACTGGTGAAAAGTAGGTACCCAAAATGGATTGCCCTCGTAAATGGAAAGGACACAAAACCTGCGGTCTGGTGGTTTAATTTTGATCCATACCCACATTATAGTCAGCTTCCCTCTAGTTGGTAGTTTGGAGTGGTGGTTTGGCGGTCAGCGGGTGGTTCCCAACTACCCTCTACAAGAACAAGGGGTTCAAATCCAAATCTAAACCACCAATTCAAACCACCACAGGGTAACCTGATCTAGTGGTAACTCCACTCCCTTCCTTTTGCTTAAGTCTCCTGGACAAAACAACATGTTCAGTAGTGAAATAATGTCCCTTGAAAACCAACAGGGAAAACAATAATGATACGGTTGACAATGACAATAATCCGCCGACCCCTTCTCCTCAAAGGGGAGGCGCACGGGAAGGGTGGTTGCAGTACAAGCGCATGGATTAATCTTTGAGGCAAGCATATGACTACTGGCATCATACGGATGCCCATCATCATCATCGATATGATCCTTCATCATTCTTATCGTCAACATCATCATCATCATTTCTATATCCTTCAACATCATCATCTCTTAGCCGGCACTGGTGATGCCGAGGATGTCATCATCATCTCTTAGTAGGCAGCACTGGTGATGCAAAGGGTGTTATGATGATAGTTGTCATCATAATCATCATCATGATCATCCTTATTATGATGTCATCGCTCTTCTCATCATCATCATGATGATCATCATCATCTCATTCTTATTCTTATTCTTATATGCATTTCAAAAGTAACGTTAGGCCCCATTGGCAATGCAGAGGATGCTACGATGATAGTTCTCATCACAGTCCTCATCCTTATCATCACTATCATCATGGTCATCATCATCTCTTGTTAGCCGGCACTGATGATGCCGAGGATGCTACGATGATAGGTATCATCACAGTCCTCATCCTTGTCATCAGTATCATCACGGTCATCACCATCTCTTATTAGGCAGCACTGGTGATGCAAAGGGTGTTACGATGATAGTTATCATCATAATCATCATCATGATCATCCTTATTATGATGTCATCACTCTTCTCATCATCATCATGATGATCATCATCATCTGATTCTTGCTCTTATTCTTATATGCATTTCCAAAGTAACGTTAGACCCCATTGGCAATGCAGAGGATGCTACGACGATACTTATCATCACAGTCCTCATCCTCATCATCACTATCATCATGGTTATCATCATCTCTTATTAGCCGGCACTGGTGATGCCGAGGATGTCATCATCATCTCTTATTAGGCAGCACTGGTGATGCAAAGGGTGTTATGATGATAGTTATCATCATAATCATCATCATGATCATCCTTCTTATGATGTCATCGCTCTTCTCATCATCATGATGATCATCATCATCTCATTCTTATTCTTATTCTTATATGCATTTCAAAAGTAACGTTAGACCCTATTGGCAATGCAGAGGATGCTACGATGATAGTTCTCATCACAGTCCTCATCCTTATCATCACTATCATCATGGTCATCATCATCTCTTGTTAGCCGGCACTGATGATGCCGAGGATGCTACGATGATATATATCATCACAGCCCTCATCTTTGTATATAGAAGAAAGATAGAAGAAAGAGATGATGATGATGATGATCATGATGACAATGATGAAGGCGATGACTATGATGACAATCATCATGAAGATGATAAGGATGATGACTCTTATGATAACTATCATCGTAACATCCTCTGCATTACCAAAGCTGTGGATGACTGTCATGATAACTATCATCGTAGCATCCTCTGCATTACCAAGGATGCCTAACGCCACAATTGAAATGTATATAGAAGTATAGAAGAAAGATAGAAGAAGAGATGATGTGACAATTGATGATGACAATGATGATGACGATGATGAAGGCGATGACTATGATGACAATCATCATGAAGATGATAAGGATGATGACTCTTATGATAACTATCATCGTAACATCCTCTGCATTACCAAAGCTGTGGATGACTGTCATGATAACTATCATCGTAGCATCCTCTGCATTACCAAGGATGCCTAACGCCACAATTGAAATGTATATAGAAGTAGAGAAGAAAGATAGAAGAAGAGATGATGTGACAATTGATGATGACAATGATGATGACGATGATGAAGGCGACGACTATGATGACAATCATCATGAAGATGATAAGGATGCTGACTCTTATGACAACTATAATCGTAGCATCCTCTGCATTACCAAAGCTGCGGATGACTGTCATGATAACTATCATCGTAGCATTCTCTGCATTACCAAGGGTGCCTACCACATTTGAAATGTAAAAAGAAGAAAGATAGAAGAAAGAGATGATGATGATGATGATCATGATGACAATGATGAAGGCGATGACTATGATGACAATCATCATGAAGATGATAAGGATGATGACTCTTATGATAACTATCATCGTAGCATCTTCTGCATTACCAAAGGTTCCTAACGCCACGTACCAAGGGCACTGTTTTTGGTTGCTCGAAAACCACAACTAAATCCAGGGGTCGGCGGCACTGGGCGGCAGCCCTTAAATCCGGCCACCGGACGTGATCGGGCCGCAGGCCAAAGCCCGTTAGGGCTTACCTTCAGGTATAAGGCCGCGCGCCCCATGCCGCCGACCATGCGCGGACCATGCGCAGAACATGCGCATACGTTTTATGCTGGGCCCTCCCTTATAAGGGGCGAAGGATTTGCGGATTGGTTTAGGCGTTTTTGTAGCATCTCCCCGCAGCATCCAAAAACGAGTCCAAAAACGAGTATTTTTGGGGGGGTGCCTAATACTGGACAACACCCCCAGCATTGCCAGCATCATCCCGGATGATGCGGATGATGCTATGCATGCTGGCGATGCGGGGGATGCTGGGGATCTTAAAATATGAAATTCCGAAATTCTCAAACTCTTAAAATCTCAGAATCTTAAAAGCTTCCAAAACTTAAATTCTTTAAATCTCGAACTATTGCAATCTGAAAATCTTAAATTCATAAACGAGTAAAATATAATAAAATTCCTTCAATCCGGGCTATATTCTAAATTCCTTAAACTCTTAATCTTAAAATCTTGCATTCCGAAAGTCGCCAAATCTGAAAATCTCACCAAAAATAAAATCTTAAAGCTTCCGAAATCTGATAATGGATGGAAAATGGCTGGGCAATGGCCTGGCTGTTATAACTTTCAAACACCTTAAGTCTTTGAATCTTAAAACCTTAATTCTTAAAACATTGAAGCCTTAAATTCCAAAAGTCTTCAAATCTGAGACCCTTAGAATCTCAAAGTGTTTAGAATTTTTAAGTGACAGAACGGGCAAGGCAAGGTGCCCGGTGGCCGGCTGTGTCGCGTCAGCGTGTAAATCCGGCCACCGGACGTGATCGGGCTGCAGGCCAAAGCCCGTTAGGGCTTACCTTCAGGTATAAGGCCGCGCGCCCCATGCCGCCGACCATGCGCGGACATGCGGGTTTGTTTTGGGCTGGGCCTTCCTTATAAGGGGCGAAGGATTCGCGGATTGGTTTAGGCGATTTTTGTAGCATCTCCCCGCAGCGCCCAAAAACGAGCATTTTTAGGGGGTGCCTAATACTGGACAACACCCCCAGCATTGCCAGCATCATCCCGGATGATGCGGATGATGTTATGCATGCTGGCGATGCGGGGATGCTGGGGATGTTGTCCCCCAAGTCGGGCCAATTTTGCCGAAAACGTGCAACCTGAAAATCTTAAAATCTAAAGTGGATGGAAATGGATGGAAAATGGCCTGGATTGAAATCTCAAAATCCTAAAGTCCGCCAAATCTGAAAATCTCACAAAAAATAAAATCTTAAAGCATCCGAAATCTGATAATGGATGGTAAATGGCTGGGCAATGGCCTGGCTGTTATAACCTTCAAAAGCCTTAAATGTTTGAATCTTAAAACCTTAATTCTTAAACCATTGATCTGAGACCCTTAGAATCTCAAAGTTTTTAGAATTTTAAAATCTTAACATCTACTCATCGGACTTACAGGAAAGGGAAGTGACAGAAACCCTCATGTCTTTGAATCTTCAGATGTTAAAACCTTAAAATATGAAATTCCTAAATTCTCAAAATCTTAAAATCTCAGAATCTTACAAGCTTCAAAACCTTAAATTCTTGAAATCTCGAACTATTGCAGTCTGAAAATCTTAAATTCATAAACAAGTAAAATATAATAAAATTCCTTCAATACGGGCTATATTATTCTAAATTCCTTAAACTCTTAATCTTCAAATTTTGAAGTCTTGACATCTTAAGATCTTAAAATCTTAAGTTCCGAAAGTCGCCAAATCTGAAAATCTCACAAAAAATAAAATCTTAAAGCATCCGAAATCTGATAATGGATGGTAAATGGCTGGGCAATGGCCTGGCTGTTATAACCTTCAAAAGCCTTAAATCTTTGAATCTTAAAACCTTAATTCTTCAACCATTGATCTGAGACCCTTAGAATCTCAAAGTTTTTAGAATTTTGAAATCTTAACATCTACTCATCGGACTTACAGGAAAGGGAAGTGACAGAAACCCTCATGTCTTTGAATCTTCAGATGTTAAAATCTTAAAATATGAAACTCCTAAATTCTCAAAATCTTAAAATCTCAGAATCTTAAAAGCTTCAAAAACTTAAATTCTTTAAATCTCGAACTATTGCAATCTGAAAATCTTAAATTCATAAACAAGTAAAATATAATAAAATTCCTTCAATCCGGGCAATATTCTAAATTCCTTAACCTCTTAATCTTCAAATTTTGAAGTCTTGACATCTTAAGATCTTAAAATCTTAAATTCCGAAAGTCGCCAAATCTGAAAATCTCACAAAAATACAATCTTAAAGCCTTGGATGGAAAATGGCTGGGCAATGGCCTGGCTGTTATAACCTTCAAAAGCCTTAAATCTTTGAATCTTAAAACCTTAATTCTTCAACCATTGAAACCTTAAATTCCGAAAGTCTTCAAATCTGAGACCCTTAGAATCTCAAAGTTTTTAGAATTTTAAGATCTTAACATCTACTCATCGGACTTACAGGAAAGGGAAGTGACAGAACGGGCAGGGCAAGGTGCCCGGTCCGGCTGTGTCGCGTCAGCGTGTAAATCCGGCCACCGGACGTGATCGGGCCGCAGGCCAAAGCCCGGTAGGGCTTACCTTCAGGTATAAGGCCGCGCGCCCCATGCCGCCGACCATGCGCGGACCATGCGGGTACGTTTTGGGCTGTGGGCCTTCCTTATAAGGGGCGAAGGATTCGCGGATTGGTTTAGGCGATTTTTGTAGCATCTCCCCGCAGCGCCCAAAAACGAGCATTTTTAGGGGGTGCCTAATACTGGACAACACCCCCAGCATTGCCAGCATCATCCCGGATGATGCGGATGATGTTATGCGTGCTGGCGATGCGGGGGATGCTGTCCCCTAAGTCGGGCCAATTTTGCCGAAAACGTGCAACCTGAAAATCTTAAAATCTAAAGTGGGTGGAAATGGATGGAAAATGGCCTGGATTGAAATCTCAAATCCTAAAGTCTTAGATTCTTAAAATCTTAAATTAAAATCTAACAATCAATCTTAGAATCTCAAGATCTTAAAATCTTAGAACTTAGAATCTTAAAATCTAAAAATATAAAAACTTCCTAAAGTCTTCGAATCTTGAAATCTTAAAAACCTTATGTCTTAGAATCTTGAGATCTTAAACTCTTAAAATTTGAAATCTTAGAACCTTAATTCTTAAACCATTGAAACCTTAAATTCCGAAAGTCTTCAAATCTGAGACCCTTAGAATCTCAAAGTTTTTAGAGTTTTGAAATCTTAACATCTACTCATCGGACTTACAGGAAAGGGAAGTGACAGAAACCCTCATGTCTTTGAATCTTCAGATGTTAAAATCTTAAAATATGAAATTCCTAAATTCTCAAAATCTTAAAATCTCAGAGTCTTAAAAGCTTCAAAAACTTAAATTCTTTAAATCTCGAACTATTGCAGTCTGAAAATCTTGAATTCATAAACAAGTAAAATAAAATAAAATTCCTTCAATACGGGCTATATTATTCTAAATTCCTTAAACTCTTAACCTTCAAATTTTGAAGTCTTGACATCTTAAGATCTTAAAATCTGAATTCCGAAAGTCGCCAAATCTGAAAATCTCACAAAAAATAAAATCTTAAAGCCTTCGAAATCTGATAATGGATTGTAAATGGCTGGGCAATGGCCTGGCTGTTATAACCTTCAAAAGCCTTAAATCTTCGAATCTTAAAACCTTAATTCTTCAACCATTGAAACCTTAAATTCCGAAAGTCTTCAAATCTGAGACCCTTAGAATCTCAAAGTTTTTAGAATTTTAAAATCTTAACATCTACTCATCGGACTTACAGGAAAGGGAAGTGACAGAAACCCTCATGTCTTTGAATCTTCAGATGTTAAAATCTTAAAATATGAAACTCCCAAATTCTCAACATCTTAAAATCTCAGAATCTTAAAAGCTTCAAAAACTTAAATTCTTTAAATCTCGAACTATTGCAATCTGAAAATCTTAAATTCATAAACAAGTAAAATATAATAAAATTCCTTCAATCCGGGCTATATTCTAAATTCCTTAACCTCTTAATCTTCAAATTTTGAAGTCTTGACATCTTAAGATCTTAAAATCTTAAATTCCGAAAGTCGCCAAATCTGAAAATCTCACAAAAAATACAATCTTAAAGCCTTGGATGGAAAATGGCTGGGCAATGGCCTGGCTGTTATAACCTTCAAAAGCCTTAAATCTTTGAATCTTAAAACCTTAATTCTTCAACCATTGAAACCTTAAATTCCGAAAGTCTTCAAATCTGAGACCCTTAGAATCTCAAAGTTTTTAGAATTTTAAGATCTTAACATCTACTCCGCGGACTTACAGGAAAGGGAAGTGACAGAATGGGCCCGACCATGCGCAGAACATGCGCATACGTTTTGCGCTGGGCCCGCCCTTATAAGGGGCGAAGGATTCGCGGATTGGTTTAGGCGATTTTTGTAGCATCTCCCCGCAGCGCCCAAAAGCGAGTATTTTTAGGGGGTGCCTAATACTGGACAACACCCCCAGCATTGCCAGCATCATCCCTGATGATGCGGATGATGCTATGCATGCTGGCGATGCGAAACAAGGGGCTGAAGGGGAGGAGGACACTGGAGAGAAACCGAGATGCAGGAAAATGCAAGGGCAGAAGAGTCTTCAAGGAAATGAAGGGAGCTGAAACGGCAGTGAAGTGGAAGGAAGTGAAGGGAGGGAAGACATGCAAAGGAAGTGAAGTTCAAATCATCCCGAAAACTGACAGAACTTGGAGGGAAAGGAAATCAAAGAACGGGAAGGGGTGCCCGGTGGCCGGCTGTGTCGCGTCAGCGTGTAAATATTCAAAAAACATAGAGTAAGAACAAAACAACATTTCAGCAAATGGAAGCTGAAACTGGGCTAGGGAGCTTCACCACTGCCCCCAGCACCGTCTGCGTGGTGAACTGTGTGAGCGACGAGAGCGCCTGGGAATCGTTCACCAGGCGCGAGGAGAGCTCACCACTCACGTGGGAGTCGTAAAAAGAGATCTCCTGCGACCAAAAAACAGGTGTGCCATGGTCAAACCCCCTTCTTTGGCCGATTGGGTTATGGTGCCCTGAATAGGAACCATTATGCTGGTTAAGGATCCCTATTACCTCGGAACCGCAAGCACAGCTGTCTTTTGATCATGACACGTGTGTCTTTTGTGGGGGAATATGTGCCTTTTTGGGGGGCCCCAATAAGCGTCTCTTTTTTGGGGACCCCACTGCATTTGTGGTTTTGTCTGGTTTGCCTGAACAAACCCACGACAAGGATCCAAAAAGGACAGACCCATTTGAGGCTTCAACAGGGAATTCGCTGACCAACGGTTGACCCAAGGTTGACCAATGGTTGACCACTAGAACCTCGGCACAGATTGATCCTTGGTTTTTGGTGGTGATGTTCGTGGGTCCTCAAGTTTCATGGTTGCCCCAAATGATAAAACTCTTTGGGCAAATGGTGATTAGTCGTGGTTAATACCAATCCAATTTAGAGAGGCGACTGCGAGTTTTGATACGGGACCCTTTGGTGGACATCATTTAGGGGGAAGTTTACTATCTACTTGTGAGGTGGTTCCCTCTGAAAAGTCATAGCCGGTGGGAATTACTGCAAGCCCACTTCTGTATGAGAACCAACCCTTTTGTCCTGCTCCGTGAGGTTTCGAAAGAGCTTGATCCGCAGTCGGGTGACGGTCGTGTGCCCGCAAATGGCGAAGAGAATGCCCACGATGATCTCACAGAAGTAACTACTGAACCTCAGTGGTTCCAAGATCCCTTTCTCTTAGGGTCTAAGTACCTTGCGAGGTTGTTTGTCGCCTCAAGCGCATCCTCAGAAGCTATTTGGAATTTCTGGGAACCAAAACTTAGAATCTGTTTGTGGAGCAAAATGTTCCTCCTTCTAAAGTCGCAACTAAAGTCTCACACTGGGAACTGCCAAGGAACATGAGCACGGACAGGAAGAATATTGGCTCAAAAAGTTCAGCTCCGATGTCAACTGATTGAGGCTCTTGCGCGTAGCGCTTCGCTGCATCCACTGCCACGTCCACAAGCCGGCCTTGAACCCACGGAATCAGAAAGCTCAGCGTGGTAAGTAGGAAGGACACAAGGATGCCGGAGATCAAGAAGTGCCTGAACCAATTCTCAAGGAGTGAGACTAAAAACGTGCTTTCGTTTAGGATTCCCTATTCAGGCTGGTTGAAAGGAAAACCCAAAGGAAAACCCACACATTTCGGGGGGGGGGGTCCATATTCTATTTTGGCATACACTCAAATTGGGGAACCCCTAAAATGCGGGAGGCGTCTCCAGCTACGAAGTGAAACGTGAATCCAGCGTCCAAAGTGACATCTTGAATACTATCATGGTTAAGAAAACCACCGGGTTCCCTAAGCGACGCAGCCAAAGGCCAAGTTGCCTACGAAACAATTGCATCAACCAATAAGTTGGATTGGAACCCAGTGACTCCTGTGCCAAGTTTCCATATACCAATGCCAGAGAATACCAGCATATGGCTGGCTCGCCTTCTTTCGAGGGTGGTGATCAAAGGAAACCAACAGATGAAAACACCCAAACAAATTGCCAAACCGTTTTCGTGTTTTTTTTCGGCCCAGCCCAGCCGGGTTGCATCGGGCACAGTGAGAAGACCTCCTCCTTCAGCAGCTTCAAGGAGCTCCTGATGGAGGGTGCCTCGAGTCCCGCGTTGGCGTGGGACTCGTCCCGGGCCTGGCGACAAAACGCCAGCCTTTGGGGCTTTCCGCGGGAAACAAAGAGCGGATGGCGTAAAGAAAGTTGGGTGTTTGGGGCCCTTGTAAAGAATAGTGGAGAAAGCTCATGCTTAAACAAGGAGGTTCTTCAAAGAACGGGGGTTCTTCAAAGACGTTGGAAGCAGAACCACCTCTTTGCAGCACTTCATGAACACAGGTTCGGTACTCCTTGGTACCCTTAAAAGCAAAACCCAAAGCAGGCACACTTCTCAGAACCACCTCTAAGTTAGTCGGACAAGCGGTCCAAATGAATCCTTTAAGGGACTCTGTTAAACATGGGTTTTCGAAGCCTCTTGCATGAAAGGGGGGCAGGAGGCTGTTTCAACAAGGGTCGTTGAAACCATGGTTCAACTGGGTCTGTTTGCATGACTTCCTCAAACTTACCCTGCAAAGAAAACTTGAAGCGAAACCACCTTTGGTCCAAAGATAATTCTGAGACCCCCTCCAAACATACCCGTGCTTTCCGGCGCCCAGGCCCTTCCCCCGTTTATTGGCACTTTCTGGCGCCCAGCTCTTCCTCCCCGCGACTCGCGGCTCGCGATGGACTCAGCCTGGTTGCCCTCCGACTGGATCTCCGCGGCGCGGCGCACCAGGGTGTTGTGCATGCGGAGGTAGGAGGCGACCCAGCAGGAGCCCTGCGGCCAATCTGGATCTTGGGCCAACCGCTCGCCTCGGACAGAAAAAACAACTCGAATGCTCGTAGGATTGGCCAGATTTGAGGGTCAAACAAGAAGTTGATGGTTGAGAAGGGTCAAACTCAGACTGACTGCAACACCCTGGCTCAGCGTGACTCAGAGTGACTCAGACACCTCATGCAAAGGGTCCGAGTAGGTAGCCCTGGGAGGTAAAAGAACCTTCGAACCAAACTCAAACTCAAACGCCGCTGTTCGAGTTTCGTTTTAGGGTAACCCCTGAAGTCTTCGACTTGTGACTCGAACACCGAAATTCCAAACGGTCAGAGGTCAAGGTCATTTGGTTGGTCCAATTTGCTATCCCGGAAGCAAAGCGCCGGGATATGGGGGAGAAAGGTTGCTAACAATGCCGAGCTTTCAGGAGGTTGAATGGTCACGATGGTTGACCAATGGTTGCCGAGCAACAGTTCACAATAAAGAGTTGAATGTGTCACAATGTGTTTGCTGAATGCTTCGCCTCTCTGTCTATCTCTCTGCGTGTCTCTCCCTGTCGTCCAGTTTTCCTCGCTGCCGATCTCTGTCTATCTGCCTCTGCTTATCTCGGTCTATCTGTCTTTATCTGTCTCTGTCTATCTCTGCCTACCTGAAGCTGTCCGCCCGCTTTCTACTTCGGTCTGTCTCTGTGTGACTCGGTTTATCTCTGCCCGCCCTGGTTCGCCCCTGTGTCCATGTGTTTCCCTGTCTGGATCGACAATAAATGCATCGATCGACATGCACAGAAAACAACAGTCGCAAACAACTCTCCTAAAATCACGCGGACTTTCTGAGACGCCTGTGGCCACAGGAACACAGGGGCACCCCCGCCAGTGGTCGCTTTTAAAGGTTAGACCCTGCCCTGCATGCCCGCCAAAAAAAAAACAACGCCGCTGGGCGTCTGGGCTCCACAAGCAGCCAAGGCACCTTCCAGCTGTTCCCAGGACATTCGGCCCTGCGTCTCTGTTTCCTCCGGCTGGAAAGGCGTGCGTGCATCCATGGCGCCGTTCGGCTGCATCATGCTGCGTAACGAATTGCCTGTGTTGCGCATGGTCAGACTGTTCATAGTGACGTCAGGTTCTGCTTCAACGTGAAGCTTTCCATTTACCAGCGAACCGGCAAACCAAAGTCCTCTGTGTGATGAATTGAGACAAATTCCAGCTGACCCTTGAGAGCCAACTGTTCCAAAATGCGTTCATGGCACTTTCACTTCATCCTATTCAAAAACCTCCAGAGAAAGACACAAGCTTCCAACCTCTGAAGAACCCGAACGCACAGCCTCGCATAGAAGGGCAACTTCGAAGATTGCCCTGTTGCCGCGATGCGAGATGTCGCCTATCAACACATGCGAAAGTGACTTTCATGAACATAAGTCCTTCGTTGCTATGCGCGATTCCCTTGCCTGTCAAACCACCCGGCAAATGAAACAAAACAACAACAGCATAAACCAGAACAGCAACATCTGAACAAGTGTGCGAAGCAAGGTGAAAACACATCTGCCCTTAAAACCCAATCTGCCAGAAGAACTATGAGATTATGGAATCCTTAATTGAGGGGGGAACGTTGCGGGATGGGTAGTTTAGCCCCTTTCGGGTTCCTTACGGTTTCTTGGGGAGCCTTATAGGGAACGAACCCCCTTGGACCAACCCCCCAAATGTGACTCCATAATCAGAACACAGTTGAAACAAACAAGCCGGAAAATCCATGGTCACCTCGCGCACGAAGTCTGGGTTCGAGGCTTCATAGACTTGAGCACCTGGCACGGATTGAATTTTCACCGTGCCCCCAATTCGTGGTTTTGGCGGTTTGGACCTTCGGTACCAAAACCCCGTTTGGCTTTTGGAACCGGGGTGAACAAGTCCCCAAGACTAACCACCTGCAGGCGGGGGCATTTTCATGCAGTCCCTTTTTGAGGGTTCCAGGCTGATTTGTAGGGGACTAACCACACGAGACTCGCACGGCACTTCTAGCCACCTGCCACCTGTTGGAAACAGGGCCTGGTTGTTGCTCACATAAAAGTTGCCACTACCTTGATTGTTCGACGTTGCCCTTAAAGAAATGACCGCAGAAATGAGCAAGCGCCGTATATTGGTCACACGCAAACCTTGGGTGACCCATGGCTTCCAGCTGACCTCCGGATGACACAACATGATGCGCTATCGATCCGAAACGCCAAAATATGGGATGAACTACTCCATATGCTCAGTATTGAGGTTGTTTTTGTCATGTGGAGATGGAAATTTGGAGAAACAGCCATGCCCACCGGGACCAATCCACACAGTTTCGCGATTCTTGGGCCACCCAACTCTGGGGTACTGCCGCAAATCTTTCGCGACAAAAAGCTCGTTCGCAAATCTTCCGCGACTCCATCGCCACCCGCTTTTGTTTGCAGCGTGCGATCTAGAGCCATTGTTGCTGCTGTAGTTGCGAACCACGCCGTTCACTTGCGCTGCCGGGCTTGCGGCAACGCGAGGTCAAGCAGTCGGTATCATTCACCCTTTCCACTTGCGCTTGCCATCGCTTGCCACTGCTCCGTCCTGGGCCATGCAGAACCTTGCAACAAGCCCATGGGTCCATGGGCTTTCGCCGAACTTGAAAGCAAAAACTTGCTGCAGAATAGCGCTGCCAATGTTTTGCTTTGCGCCATTCCCAGCACAGCTTTGCAGGGAATCAAGGATCCAAGTAAAGGTGCTGCGCATCTCCCTCTCTACAAGCGAATCGGGTCCGCACATATACAAATCGGGCACGCCGCCGAGCAACTTCGCGAAATCGTTCGCTCAAAATAAACATATTTCGCAGACGCCTTCGCGGATCCTTCGACAAACTCCTGCAGCGCTATGGTCCTCCACAGCATGAGTCGTTACAAAGACCTTTTGATCAACTCCCATGTCGATGTGGGATTGGCGACCCAGAAATGGCTGAGTCCATGTTACCTGTGTAGGCAACCTAGGGGTTGTCCACCCTTGAAAAACCAACAGGAACATTGTGAAGGGTTACCTAGTAGTAACTGGGATCCACTGGGTGGTTCTCAAAATAGAGGTCCCAACATTTTGGGATGGTAACCAACAGGGCACCACGCCACCTGAAGTGAAAAAAAGGGGAGAGAAGGGCACTACTGGACCTAGTCTAACCCCCTGGGGTGCGATGGCAACGGGGGAAGGTCAACTGAGATGCGCCTGGTCCACCTCTTCCGCGAGGCCCACGCGTGCCGCCACCTCGAGAATCGGCCGCGAATCGGCTGGCATCCGCTGGGCGAGACGGCGAGACTCGAGAATTGGGGGGAGGGTTTTGAAGACCTGGGGGCGGCCTGCAGGGATGCGGATCCGTCAAACTTTGGAAGTGGATTTGGATATATTTTGATGTTGGAGATAGTTGAAATGATGATTTTCAAAAACTGGATGCGGGTTTGCACTTACTCTCAAACACCTCGCGCCAGTGGACGATGGAACGCATTTCCCATTAACACTTTCTTCCCCCCAAAGGGACCGTCTGGCAAGGCCTGTAACACGTCACGTCTCGCCTCACTCTCCACGCCGGCGCCCAACTCTTTGAGGCTCGTCTCCAGCCTTTGGTCCGCCGCCTCAGCGAAGTTCCAAACGAAAGCGAATCGGTGCAACAGGGCCACCCTATGGCGGTTCGAATATTCCACCATATAATGGCTCAAGTTCAAATGTCCTACTATAATGGTCAAATGGTGGTTCAATGTTCCAATTCATGGTGGTTTGAATGCTTTTTGAGGGATAGATGATGATAGCAATCCCGGATCATACGTGGGTGCAACCATGTTTGTAGAACAAAAAATCGGGCTTTTGACAAAAGTGACTTTGAGAAGTCCTTGACATGCTTGCCGCAAGGGATCCAGCAATCCACAGAACTTGGGGGACAATATCTCGGTTGCTTTCTGCTCCCCTGCTCAGTGTTTAACGTTTAGTGGTTTAATGGAAAACCCATGAGTTGGCAAAAAGTTAAAGTTCTAACATCCAAGCAAAATCCACCAAAGTCATGTTTGTCCTCATTGTTTGTTGAATGCTTGCTGGAAGATGTCATGTAGTAGCCCAAGCTGCCTGCAACGTACGCATTGTGCACACGAGCCCCGCCCTAAATGATCTTTGGGCAACAGTTTGGCAGAGCTAGACACATTATTTGCTCAGCAGGAGAAGCTCATGCAAGGTTTCATTTTCGCCTGCTACCATGTGTTTCACTATGTTGCCGATTCGGCCGCTTGGACCTGCACTGTTCAAACTTTAACCAAGCGCAACTCGTGGACAACTGATGTCTTGCCTTGTCGCACAATGCTTGCAAACAATCGTTTGACTTTGGGGTTTCTTTTACAGCACTGCCTTGCCAAGTTCTTTGTTAGTTGCAAAGCGTTGCATCTTGCCATCCAGGTCGAATTGCACTCAAACTGATCTTCCGCGAACACCCAGCCAACTTTTGATCAGCTTGCCTCTTGGTTTGGGGCACGGTGGTGTGGTGTTCTGGAGGCTTTCCCATTTACCCACAAGAACCAGGGGCTCAAATCATCCAAACCGCGGGGCTCCAAACCACCAAAGGGTCACCTGATTTGAGGCCCCAGCCGTGCGCTTCTGCAGCTCTTCCTCCATGCCCCGCTGCAACTCCTGCGAACGTGGCGCTGGCATCCCCCGCCGAAACAGATGCGCGAAGCATCGAAAGGCGCCGGAAAACCGGGGGCCGCACCGTTTTTCGGCGCCGGATGGACCTTTCTCCGGAAATATATAGGGATTGGGACGTTACTCCCAAAAATCGGTCTCCCCCCGAGATTGGGCATGCTACTGATGTGACTGCAGGCAAACACAAACGATTTGGACACTCCAGCCAAACACAAATGATGTTGACTGCCTTTCATGCAGCCCGTCTCCTGCGCACCATCTTCCCACAAAGCTAACATTCCACCCGAGGCGGAAATTGGGCACTGTGCCCACAGAGAACCAAACACGTCACGATCCATTTCACGGACTGAAGGTTGACTCTTTCACTATGATCTCTGGAAGAGGGGATGGACAGCCGGCAAATGCATTGCCATACCCAGAACCACAGTCGTACAAAGAACAAGCAAACGCCAAAACCAAAAAACAACAACAAGCACACCACAAAAACCAAGACAAAACAATCAGTGCGTGAAGCTCAACCAAGCCCTACCCAGTCCTTGAAGCGGGCACTCGTGGAGTGATCTACCTGGCGAACAGTTTGGGTCTGGTAATGTTGACACAGGAGCTAAGTAGAACCCGTCCCATTATTAGGGGGTGTTCCCTCCAAAAGTGGTCTGAATCCCCACTAATAGGGGACACCCCCCAATCAAAAACAACCAGGGGTGTATTAATCCGGGGTTAACATTACCCTTTGAGTGAGGATGGTTCCAACCCCCCCCCCTTAATCCCCCCTGCCAAAAATAGCATTTTCCAGGGGGAAGGGACGGATGGGCTGATACGTCTATCCTGGTCTCTGCACTAAATGAGTCACAGTGAAAACCCGGTATTCAAATGGTCGTAACCCCAGAACCATGTAAAGAATTAAGAAGGCGGCCGCAACAATTTCTGGCTGGGACTGCCCCTTACTAACCTTCATCTACCCGAGATTTGATTGTGGCTCAAATCTCGTGGGTGACGCCTTCAATCTTCTGCAACCCGCTCGCCATTCCACGGTGTCCAGCCTCTGTCTGGCGAGCTTTGTGCTGGGTCATGGCCTCCTTGAGTGACCCCAGGTCCTGAACGGTCACGGCACAATGCAGTGCGGGTGTGTCTTTTTTGAGGGTAGTGGCTGTAAAGGGACACCAACAGGAAAAATACATTTTTTTGGGGGGGCCGTAACACCTGACACCCCTGCAACCTGTGTGTCCTTTTGCTGTCCCTTGTCAAAAGACGGCACAAATCGGCAAGTTCTGTTTCACACCGCACGCAGCACCAGGCCTGTTGCGGTCACGAAACCACTCGCTTAGCAACGCCCGTATCATTCTTTCAACAAAGTGCAAAACATTATAGGTATGTGTCAAAATCGGGGAACCCCCATTCTATTTGCATTTAGCAAATCCCCGATTCTAATTGGTCATCTGGTTAAATGAGGGCGCCGTGCTCTAAGCCGTCAAGCATTTGCCAGCCTTCAATGACTGCGGAGCATTTCAAGAATCTCCGCTCCCCACTTGCAACATCGTGCAACACAAACACACATACATACATACATACATACATACATACATACATACATACATACATACATACATACATACATACATACATACATACATACATACATACATACATACATACATACATACATACATACATACATACATACATACATACATACATACATACATACATACATACATACATACATACATACATACATACATACATACATACATACATACATACATACATACATACATACATACATACATACATACATACATACACATACATACATACATACATACATACATACATACATACATACATACATACATACATACATACATACATACATACATACATACATACATACATACATACATACATACATACATACATACATACATACATACATACATACATACATACATACATACATACATACATACATACATACATACATACATACATACATACATACATACATTACATACATACATACATACATACATACATACATACATACATACATACATACATACATACATACATACATACATACATACATACATACATACATACATACATACATACATACATACATACATACATACATACATACATACATACATACATACATACATACATACATACATACATACATACATACATACATACATACATACATACATATACATACATACATACATACATACATACATACATACATACATACATACATACATACATACATACATACATACATACATACATACATACATACATACATACATACATACATACATACATACATACATACATACATACATACATACATACATTACATACATACATACATACATACATACATACATACATACATACATACATACATACATACATACATACATACATACATACATACATACATACATACATACATACATACATACATACATACATACATACATACATACATACATACATACATACATACATACATACATACATACATACATACATACATACATACATACATACATACATACATACATACATACATACATACATACATACATACATACATACATACATACATACATACATACATACATACATACATACATACATACATACATACATACATACATACATACATACATACATACATACATACATACATACATACATACATACATACATACATACATACATACATACATACATACATACATACATACATACATACATACATACATACATACATACATACATACATACATACATACATACATACATACATACATACATACATACATACATACATACATACATACATACATACATACATACATACATACATACATACATACATACATACATACATACATACATACATACATACATACATACATACATACATACATACATACATACATACATACATACATACATACATACATACATACATACATACATACATACATACATACATACATACATACATACATACATACATACATACATACATACATACATACATACATACATACATACATACATACATACATACATACATACATACATACATACATACATACATACATACATACATACATACATACATACATACATACATACATACATACATACATACATACATACATACATACATACATACATACATACATACATACATACATACATACATACATACATACATACATACATACATACATACATACATACATACATACATACATACATACATACATACATACATACATACATACATACATACATACATACATACATACATACATACATACATACATACATACATACATACATACATACATACATACATACATACATACATACATACATACATACATACATACATACATACATACATACATACATACATACATACATACATACATACATACATACATACATACATACATACATACATACATACATACATACATACATACATACATACATACATACATTACATACATACATACATACATACATACATACATACATACATACATACATACATACATACATACATACATACATACATACATACATACATTACATACATACATACATACATACATACATACATACATACATACATACATACATACATACATACATACATACATACATACATACATACATACATTACATACATACATACATACATACATACATACATACATACATACATACATACATACATACATACATACATACATACATACATACATACATACATACATACATACATACATACATACATACATACATACATACATACATACATACATACATACATACATACATACATACATACATACATACATACATACATACATACATACATACATACATACATACATACATACATACATACATACATACATACATACATACATACATACATACATACATACATACATACATACATACATACATTACATTACATTACATTACATTACATTACATTACATTACATTACATACATACATACATTACATACATACATACATACATACATACATACATACATACATACATACATACATTACATACATACAAACAAACAAACAAACAATCAAACAACCAAACAAACAAACAACCAATCACTCAGTCAAACAAACAAACAATCAAGCAATCAAATAAGCAACCAACTAACCAACCAACCAACCAAACAAACAAACAAACACAAACAAACAAACAGACAGACAGACAAACAAACAGACAAACAAACAAACAAACAAACAAACAAACAAACACACAAACACAAAAAACTAAACAACCAACCAACCAAACAAACAAACAAACAAAAACAGAAACCACACAACCGACCAACCAACCAACCAACCAATCAACCAAAAAACCAATCACACAAACAAACAAACAAACAAACAAACGAACAAACAAACACACAAACAAACAAACAAACAAACACACAAACACACAAACACACAAACACACAAGCAAACAAACAAACAAGTAAACACACAAACAAACAAACAAACAAACAAACAAACCAACAAACAAGCACACCAACAAGAACACCACAAGCAAACACACAACCCGACAGACAAACCAACGAACGGACAAACAAACAGACAAACACGCAGGCAGCAAACAAACACACAAGCAACACACAAACAAACACACCACCAAACAAAAACAAAACTAGCCAATAAAATAGACCGGGGAAAACACACACGACTAACATAACCAACAGCATAGAAGCAACTTGCAACCAAGTGGCTCTGTTGATGTTTCAAGCCGAGCCAAAGCCCATTGCAAAGGACATCCGTCACTCAGTTTTTGGAGGAAACCCCGTGGGGAACACCCCTTTGTCATCCATCAGGTTGATCAATCCATAGCTACGTTCAAATATTAAAAGGCACACTACAAACTCACTTCCCCAAGTGGATGGGCCAAACAAAGTCCAACCTTGTTGCTTGCCACCAAAACGGTCCTCCCAAGAAGTTTAAAGTCCATGAACTCAGGGAGTGAGTAAACCATCCCTTGTCCTACCCTCCCCCAGGCCAACATGGAAGCTCCCGAACGGACCCCTTTAGAAGACTTGGCTCCATTTACAGAGGCTTTCTGGGAGCTTCCATGTGGCTGTGGCTCAAAAAACCAGTACCAAAATGGAACCCTGGTAAGTGGAAACATGGACCAACACCCTTGTAACCCCTCCTGTTTGATTTGGAGCCACAGCCATGTTAGTCTGAGCGAGTGTATCCTTTTGGGGGGTCAGAGCTCTCTGCTCGAGCCCGCCTTCTGCAGGTTATTGGCCGCGGAGCGCAACAAGGCACAGTCCGACGTGCGGTCCGCCTTCTCCTGCGGGCAACAAGCGGGCGCTCGAGAAAAAAAAGGTACCAGTAGGATTGGGGCAATCTGGCTTGAGACCAACCGAAAGATCCCAGGTTCGATTTGGACGTTATCAATATTTGTATAGGTGGCAACATTATTTTACGTGGTTTGATGGTTCTGCGTTGGGTTTATGACCGCTGCTTCCGAACTGGAAATCATGAGCTTTGCCCCCCCTTGATTCTGCCTGTCCCATTTACCCAAGTGAGAACAATGGGATGTTCATGAAAGAACCGCTTTATGGCTATGGAGCTACTTACCCCTGCAAGCATTGGGGGTGGGGACAAGCCAACATGGGCAGGGGGGGGGTTCCTCACGGCGCTTGCCGAAAGCGCGAAAAGAAAACATGTCAGCATGTTCGGCGCAAACCGACTGATTCAAGGGATGGTTAAGAGTTCGGCCTGCTTGCACGAGCACCTGTGAACTTTGCCCTAGAGTTTCAGCCATCCGCTGAACATTGATGAGCATCCTTTCACAAGCCTCACACACCAAAACAGCGTCACACGGTCATACCTTCCCCCTGCAGCAGATTCATTAATTAAAACACAAATTCCTCAGTAGCAACTATGCAGGTAGAGAATAAGCAAGAACGCATTGCGAGCTACGGGTGTTGTTTTTGGTGGGTGCCATTTTTGGGGGTGGTTCAAGGGAAGCCAAAAGAAAACTAACTTGAGACAAACGCATATCGAAGAGTCTAGAGGAACAAACACTAAATCCAAAGACTGCCAAAGACATTGAGCTGAGGTGATGAAGACCCGATCACTCCGCAAGGTAAACCATCCCCTCTCGATGAGTGGGGAGAAAACACACACAAAAAACGACAAGCTCTTGAAGTTTACCTCACAATACCAGGCCGCTCCAAGCCCCCGACCCCCCGGCAAAAGGTCGATGACCTTGTGTAGGTCATACTTTCATGGACAAGGATGCTGTTTCCGAAAGGTCTCGCCGCCATCCGGTCACAAAGAGCCATGAGTCTTGCAAAGCCGGCTTGGGCCCCATGCACAAACGGGATGTGTTTTTTTTGCTTGGTTGCAAAGAATCTGATCTCCAGCCAGGGCCGGACGTTGAACCGCACCTTCACCTTCACCCCTCCTTCCCTTCAAGTAGCTCAACCTACCCCAAAATTCTCCAGAACCATGCTCCCCAAAAACCTCAAGGGTCCCCTAGGGTGCCTTGTAAATTTGTAGCTCTTTGACCCCTTGTTCAGCCCTTGGTGATCCGAAGCTACAGGACCACCGGGACCCAAACTGCCGAGCTCTCCTGACCCAGCGCCTGCTGGAAATTCTCCTTCATGGCCTTCCGACACGATCTGTGAGTCAGCTGGTCCGTTGCTCCCCGCTTTGGAGCTTTGGGGGTAAAGGAAACCAAAAGGACCGAAGCCATGTTGGCCCCGGTATGTTGACATGTACTGTGGGCATGTGTTCATGGTTCTATGTTTGATCGTTATCGATATATGGTGGGGTGTTGTCTTGTTGTCGGCTTATGGGAATTGTTCCGTGTTTGAATGGGTGATGTGTTTTGGGAAAACACGTGCCATGTCACCGGATGGCTTATGGACGCAACAAGGCACAAGCATAATTGGCTAATGCCAATGCCGGTCCAACCCGACATCAGTAGCATAAGTGGTGTGAGAAGGTGGCCTGGACGTGCCCGTGTTGTGCCCGACGGAAAGAGGAAACGAAACACAACGGGAACTTAACCGCTTAGCAGTCCTTCTTGGTTTGGTCGAAGAATAGATGACCCTTGGGCCCTGGTTTACCTGGTACGAGTAAACCAAACTGAACAAACACATAGAATACACTTTCACCCACCTGTACACGCAAATACACACATAGACTGCCAAGAGAGGAATTACAAATCGTATAGAATAATTCACCTTCCCCCCTTGTGTGGCAAACAAAGACCTTGCGGCGTCTCCACCAGTGGGGTAGGGGATCCCAGGCTGATTTTTGTTTGTTTTTTGTGTTTGGCAAAAAAGGGGTTCCAGCGGCCAGCGCGGCAAGCCACACCGTTGACATCTCTGCAAATCAATTCATGCAACTCCCGCATCCCACAGATTCGTCTTCGTGGATGGTCCATCATCCAGTTTACCTTCCGTCAGATCAGAGGGGGAAAGAACGGCTAATTAAGCGGGAAGTCAGCTAAGCGGGAAGCCAACAGAAAGGCAACGGCGCCTTCAACGATCTTTGGATGCAAATGGGCCTTTTCTCCAAAGTTGTAGCTTTGGTGAGGTTCCCAGGAAAACCTTAAGGGAAGTCGAAGTCCCTTTCTGCGGTGTCTCTCCAAGTAAAGCGTTACCTTGACCTGCGCTGACTGAGAAACGCTCCTCCTCTGTGGAAGTCCGAGTCTGTGTCTCCTCGCAAAGGCCGATGAATTTATTGACGACTGGGCACTACCATGGATGTATCAGGAGATACCAACAATTTACTAGGCGAAGTAGCAAGGGTGTGCTGGGCAACTGCCAAAAGTGGTTTGCTGTTGGCAATCCATATATCTGCATGCGCTGGTTTCCAAACATATGAACATCTCAAGCGGAAAGTATAAACGAGGAATATTACGAATATGGCCAAGAACGGCCATAGGGCCGAAATGCCGGCCCGCTTGCTGCGGGACCCTGGCAAGGCGTCTTTCTTCTAGCATCCTCTCAAAGGAAATTCAATCTGCGTTGGTCGAAATGGGAGAATCCCTAGTGCGAAGATGTGTCGAACACCACCACAACAAGGGAAAGTACTAGACCTAAGGTTTAGGATTGATTTTCACCAACCCAATCAGTTGCCCTCTCTCTCGCAAACATGGTACCTCTCCACGGGTCCCGAACTTAAAAATGACATGCGTGTCGTTTTTGAGGCATCTCTCGACATGGTGGTTTTCCTTTCGGTTTCCCAGTAAACACACAAACAAGGGACCCCCCCCCCACAAAAAAAGATAGACAAACACAGCCAAATAGATCTTCCAGGGTACCCCGATGTGCGGGTGCAGCTGTCCTTTAGGATGGACTCCCGAACCTCTCGCAGCAAACTGCTCAGAGTATCCTGCGGGCGTCTCACTCTGGAGCCGCTTTCTTACCCGAAGGGTCCAAGTCATGTTGACCCAGGATCTAAGTAGAACCCGTCCGAATAGAAAGGTGTCCCCTCCAAAAGTGGTCTGAATCGCCACTAAAAGGGGGCACACCCCAATCAAAATCAACCAGGGGGTTATTAACATTACCATGCGAGGTTGTACGTTGACCCCTTTTTGAAGTGCACCCTGAGATGGTAACTTGAACCCTCTGGGTTATGCAGGCACTTGGAGTGCTCTTCAATGTAGAATGCACCCCCCAAACCCCCCCCCAGTGGCGATACGACAAAAAGGGGCTCCCTGTCTTCAGGTAGTTGAGTTCAAAGGGAGACCCTCAAACCAAAAAAATGCACCACTTGGTGTCTGGGTCAAAATTTTGCGCCACCAGGAATCGCAGGTTTAGTCCACGTTTCCATTTAGGGCAATCCATTTTGGGGTTACCCTACTTTTTGACCCACGGCCACGAGTCTGGGTCCCGTAATTCGCTTCTTCCGATGCGCCTCCCCTTCTCTGCGCTCCGTCATCTCTTGCACGACCGTCTGCTTCAGCGCATCGAGATCCTGGCAAAAGCGTCTTCCCCCCCTGCGTTTGAGGCTGGCTGGAAGGCATTTTCTGGGCATCAACCTCGACCAAGGCATCAAGTGCCGTTCCGCACCACGAAATGAAACCATGGTTGAAACCAAGACGATGATGATGATGCTGATGATGATGATGATGACGAGGACGAGGAGGGGGAATATGAGGATTATTCCATGAGCTACTGCATATCCTCAACACATAGAGCTTACAGGGCAGCCCCAAAGGCTAGTTTTGAGATCCATTCATCACGCAACGGCTTCAAGGGAAGTCAACCTCATGCTGTGGGGAATCAGAAGAACCCCAGAAAAGTCCAGAACAGCCCAGGACAAAAAAGGCACAGAGGTTCATCCAGCAACCACCCAGTTGCGCAAATTGTCGGCTTTGACTTGTACGTCATGTGTGGATGCCCAAACAAGTGACTTCAAGTTACTAAGGGGAACTTTCAGGATTCGCTGATTTCGCCGCCGGCCAGATTCCCAGAACCTAGTCGGGCAAATTGTCACCAGGTGATGCACGGTGGATGGGAACAACTTCGATGCCTGACTTGGTGTTGTGGTTGGATCTGCCTTTTTTATGCTACGGTACTTTTACCACACGGTTTCGCGCGGGACTCGTGGTCGGTCTGCTTTGATTTCCGCATTCCTGCGATTTCTGTGCGCACTTATTTCGCACAGAAAAATGGCTCTTTTCGTGGGATATGTGTTTTGTGCGTGTGCTTTCGTCAAGCCTTAAACCAAAACAAACTGGGCTCAGGGTGGTGTTTTGTTTTTTCAGCCGAAGCACTGGCCTCCAGGGCCACCTTGAGGTCCTCCCGGAGGCGCCGGAGCTGCAGGTCTTGGGCCTGCTGCTCTCGGGACCTGCGCGGGTGGTTTCAGGGGCCTGGATATCCCCTGCGCTGCTTTTTTGTTTTTTTAATGGGAGAGCCCTTGACTCGAGCCACCCCCTCCCCGCCCAAAAGAAACAAACAACACACACAACCTGGATTTTCCCCAGACTTCAGAAGGAGCCTCACGCACACGTTGGTTCACCAAGCCCGCACAAATTAGGGGAGGCGAAGGGGGCCAGGGCTGGATATCCCCAAATTTTCGTGGGGATCGGTGAACCAATGTGTGTGAGGCTCCTGCTGAAGTCTGGGAACAAATCTAGGTTCTTTGTGTTTGTTGTTTGTTTTCTTTTGGGCGGAGAGGGGGTGGCTGGAGTCATAGCGGCGATGGGGGAAAAACCAACTGCGCTGCATGGAGTTTGGGGTTTGGGTGCCATCCAGGCGATGTTTCGCGAGCCCCGAAGGGAAAAAAGACCCAGACCCACGATAAATCAAAAGTCTAAGTGTGCATAGGGGGTGACTCAAGTAAATCAGTTGGCAAGGCGATTGAACCTAACTCCTTGGCCCCACAGGAATCAATGCCAATTCAGCACTCCCCGAATGGTAATTCAACCTAAATTTGCCCAACTTCCTAAATCAAGATCCGTCTGGGATAACAACCTAAATTTGCCCAACTTCCTAAATCAAGATCTGGGATCTTGTTGGGACGCATTGGCTAGCAAATCTGGTAAACCTAATGAAACTGCCAACCCCCCCTCCTCCCTGTAGCCTAGCAAGCCCCCAGGCAACGAAGAGCCCCCTCTCCCCGGCAGACAAAATTGAAGCAGGCTAACCTTGCACAATCCAGCCGCCGATTTGCGGCAACCCAGCGCAAGAGACATTTGACACGCACCGTGTTACATTGTGGGTCTGCGTTGTTTGAGGGTACCAACTTGTCATTGGTTGTTGAAGGGGGCAAACTTTGTGGCGTTCAGGCCCAAGGTGCAATGGTGGCCCCAACTCAAGGAGACCTCAGCGGTCGCCATGTTACAAGCGTTTGGCTGCAATCGCCTCGTTCCCGAAAGAAAAACAAACTTGAGGTGACGAGTTCCAACGAAAAGCAAGGCATGTGCCATGAAAGGGTCCAAGTACCTGAGGACGTAAGTAGTACCCTCCCCCCCACGAACATGGAAGCTCCCCAACGGAGCCCTTTGGAAGACTTGGTTCCATTTCCAGGATTGGCCAATTGGGGGAGCTTCCGGCTGTTAGTTTGGGGAGTGTGTCAACACATGGAGACTACTGTGGATGGACGGAATCCTGCACCACTCTGAACCATGGTTGAAGCCATTGTTTCTTGGCATTTACAGGGGAATCGTATCAGAAACCACGGTTTCTGATCGGTGGCGCGAAATGGATTTCGCCCATCCCCATTAAAAGCCACCGCACGCGCTACGGCCACCAAATCCTTTCCCGGATCTTGCGCGCCTCACGCTCAGCTCGTCACTCAGCACCTTTAGCTTCTGAAGCACCTGCGGCGAAACGAGATCGCTCGGGGAAACCAATGGCCTCATGGTCATGCTAGTGAGTAAGAACTAGGTAGCGTACCCAACCAATAGGTACAGTTTGACACACTTTTGAGGATGCCATAGAAAATGGGAAGCTACAATTCGGGATCCAGGTGCCAACTAGATGGGGTGGGGGGCGGGGAGCCAGCAGGGAAAAACAAAACCAACATGGGGACGAGACTCGGGCCTGCCTAAGTAGTCTTCCAGTATTCCAGTATTGGTTTAGGATTGGAGTAGGAATCCTTGAGTTTGTGCAGTGCAGTTTTATTGAACAGAGTCATACATAATCTGGCTGTTTGCCACCTCAGTCAGGTCAGCTGTTGTTGGTAGCATTTCGAGCAAACTCTACACTCTACTGGTAAGGTTGGTGATGGGGTATGGAGCAGGTTGGATACAACAAGCTCAGATTGGCAACCCATTCTGGATTTGTTGGCCCTATTTGTTTTCTGTATGTCCTACACTTGTTGTTTTTCCCATGAGGGAACAATGACTTCAAGAAGAAAACCCAAACAAGTATATTAACCCAACCATTCAATCACTACCCAACATTAGGCTCCGGCACTCTGCCCATAGAATTGTCAACCGCAATAGAAAGGTGCGCAAAACCTTCTGCCCAAATACACATTGCAACTGATGGTTGCAGAATTCCAGCTGGCAAAAACGGAAGGCAATAGCGCACTGATACGACTTTCCCCAATACCCCAATGCCCCCAAATGGACAAACGAGTCCATTGAATGGCATTGGCTTCTTGTTCTCTGCCCAAGTCGCGGGTTCGCGCCTCACTGTCTGAAGCTGATCGTTCTTGCGCCTCCACCTCCACATCAGCCTTGACCTGCACATCGCTCAGTTTCACGCGGCTCCACACGTCTGGGGTGCTCGCGAAACGACCAAGCAAAGAAAGAAGAGCGCCGACTACACTCAGCAATCGAATCTCCCTCGGGATGAAACACATGTCTGCACCGCGCCGCTTCAGCAAGTGTTCCAGGGGCAAAGAAATGCAGCCTTCGTCAACATGTGGGGGTTTCTCGAAATGGGGTGTCCTTCTTGGATGGCTTTAAACCGAGCCCTTCGACGAGCAAGGTTTCAAGGCATCCGATCGGAGCTGGCTCAGAGAAGCACTCAGGTCAACAGAAGAATCTTCGCCAGAACCCTATGACTCTATGACCGATTTGGCGCTCCAGAATACCGCCCCCAAGCTGCCCAAACCGCCCCAAACCGCCCCAACCGCTCCAAGCGGCCAAGCCGAACCGCGCGCACCTTCTTCATCCGCAGCTCCAAGCTCTCGAACATGGCGAGGCGCAGGCCTCGCTCCTTCAGACCGCTGGCTTCTTACTCAGTGGATCGGTTGGCGCCCAAGTCGGCGAAAAAAAATATGACATTTGCCGCGAAAAGGGCAACCAACCCCAAAAAGCGGGAGGGAGAAGAGTCCAACTTGCAATGCGTCCAATTTAAGGCCTAACATGCCGCATTACTGGGAAGGTACCTGGAAGATCAATTCAAGGGACCCTCTGGGTGCCATGGCCTGCCGTGGGAGGGCCACCGAGCGTTTTTTCATTTACGATGGCAACCAAACCCAAAAGAGTCACAGTGAAAACCCGATACTAAAATGGTCTACCCAACCATGTAAAGAATTAAGAAGGCGGCCGCAACTATTTCTGGCTGGGATCGTCCCTGACTAACCTTCATATACCCGGGTTTGATTGTGGCTCAAAAAGCGGAGAGAGTCCAGGAACTCGAAAAGTGTCGTTCAGGTCCAAGACCAACCCAAAATGCTGGGTTGTCCTTTTGGTTCTCCTGTAAGACCATCCAGAAAAAGGATGGAATGTTCAAACTAGAACAAAAACAAGCGCCATGCACAAGGTTCAATGAAGAACTCCAAGTAACCAGGAGACCCAAAAACCTCCAACAATGTCATACCCAACAAAAACAATGGTTTTCATGGACACATCGTGTTTTCGTGGCATATCCCCACACGATGCTTCCCAGAGGGCACGACCAATTTGCAGGCTGTTGAGTCTGCATGCCAAGCTTTTCGAACTTCCAAGGGTCGTAACTGCCTTTGTCGTGGTGCCCCGCTCCGCTTGTGATGAACTCCCACCGTGACTGCCCGTCCTGTTTGGTTTGGATATGGGCACCAGTCCATCAAACCCTTGGCTAGCGTCGGAACCTCGTGAACTCATTTAAATTTGGTTCGAGGCTGGGGGGTAAAGCTGTGGTCTAGAGATGTGTTTGGCAACATCTGCTCCTTGTGGACAACCACAAGAAATCGGCGGCGCTTCCGGTATGTACTTTCTGTTTATTAATTGTTCATGGTCCGCTGATCTCACTTGAGGCCCTGCATTTAAATGGAGACCGGCTTTCAAGCAGAAACACTTCCCCATACACCAACAGGCATCCTGTAAGGCAATTGCGTAGGTTCGACCCTCACGCATCTTTCCCCAGACAAGTTCTATGAATTTCAGCAGGGGGGCATTGGTGGTAAACAGCGCATTGATCCCAATCCTGAGGAAGGTGCCGCCTTGACTGCTTTTCAGGGCGCCGAAAATTGGTGGTTCTCGTTTTTGGTTTCCCTTAAACACCACCAAAAGACGGGTACCTTCAAAAACACACGCAGACATATATGTGAAGGCTGTCAAAATTAATGGCCCGTCTGGCCGTCCGAGATGGCCAAGATCGGCAAACCGGGTTTTCAAAAGGGGGCCCTATGGTTTACAACCTCGCCGTGTCGCAACTTTATGGTGGTGACGGTGCCGTTTGAGTGCTTGGCTTTGGTCTTTCTGAGGCTTCGCGATGATTGGAAACGAGAAGCCAGCAAATGCAACAACTAGGTCCTCCAGTAGAGAGGTTAGAATAAGGGTGCCCTTTCTTCTGTAGTCTATTTTAGTAGGGGAACCCTCCCCCAAAAATGGGTAAAAGGGCACTACTGGGGGACCTAGACAACCATTCTGAGAACTGCCCCATCGAACGCACATGGCACAGCAGCTCCTCGTTGAGCTTGGCTTCCTCAGCTTGCACTGCTTTGGTTCCCCTCCCTGGCATCCGTGCTGAATCAAACCTGACACGCCCGAAGCTGTGCATTTTGCAGCTTCCGACAGCTGCAGTAAGTTTCACCTAGATGGTGCAACAACTTGAGAAACAGCAGGTGCGGCAATGCGAATGCCTACTCCCTAGCAAAACAGATGCGGTAGACCCACTGATCAGCGGGGCTAGAGTGCATGCGAGATGCAGTAGGAAACAAATTATGCAATTTTGAAATACCGCACACTTCTGAGTGCGCACACATACGCTACCAAGCACACACACACACACACACACCGGAACACCCTACACATACACACCGTACAAACGAACATATGTGTGTATGTCTGCGTGTGCGTGTGCGTGTGCGTGGGAGTGCGCGTGCACGTGCGCGTGCGCGTGGGCGTGGGCGTGGGCGTTTGCGTGTGCGTGTGCCTGTGCGTGTGCGTGCGGGTGCGGGTGGGTGGGTGTGGGTGTGGGTGTGTGTGTGTGTGTGTGGGTGTGCGTGTGTGTGTGTGTGTGTGGGTGGGTGCGTGCGTGCGTGGGTGCGTGCGTGCGTGCGTGCATGCATGTATGTATGGATGAAAGAATGAATGATGTGTCATATGTGTATGTGTGCGTGCATTTGTGTATGCATGCATGCATGCAATGCATGCATGCGTGCATGCATGTGCCGCATCTATGTGTGTATGTCTGCGCCTGTTTGCCGGTCTGTCCGTGTGCCTGAGTGTCTGTGTGTCTGTCTGTCTGTCGGTCTGTCTGCCCGTCTGTCCGTCGGTCGGCCGGTCTGTTTGTCTGCCTGTCTGTGTGTGTGTGTATGTATGTGTGTGTGTATGTGTGTATGTGCGTGTGTGTATGTGTGTGTGTATGTATGAGTATGTATGTATGTGCGTATGTGCTTCTGTGAGTATGCGCGTGTGTATATACATAATATATATATATATATGTCCGTATGTGTGCATGCAATGCATGCATTGCACGCGTTGCATGCATTGCATGCATTGCATGCCTGCATGCCATGCCTGCCTGCCTGCCTGTCTGCCTGTCTGTCTGTCTGGCTGCTTGTCTGTCTGTCTGTCTGTCTGTGTCTCTGTCCGTCCGTCTGTCGGTTTGTCTGTCTGTCTGCTTGTCTGTTTGTCTGTCTGTCTGTATGTATGCGTGTTTGTATGTATGCATGTGTGCCTATGTGTATGTATGTATGCCTGTCTGCCTGCCTGCGTGCATGCATGCAAGCTTGTGCTGTGTTATGCCATGTCTTCCTATATGTGCCCGGTACGAGGGTTATGCTACAACATGTCACGCCGTATCCCGATATGATATGGCATGTTATGCATGTATGTATGCATTGCATTCCACTGCACTGCACTGCAGGGCATTGCAGCGAAAGGTATAAACTAACAGAATTCCAACCATACTCAGGGCGGGGTTCCCTTAAACAAAAAAAACAAAATCCAGCGGTCGGATTCCAAGAACCCGGCGTTCTCCCGGAAGGCGCGCTCGCACTCCACCAGCGCGCGACGGGACTCAGCCTTCAAGTCCTGCGATTGACGTGTCCTTCATTTGGAATGATGGTTCCAACGTAACTACCAACAAACAATGGTTTGCCATGGTTTCTTAGGTGGATTTCGCCCATCCACAGTATCCCTGGAAATATGGCAGTGGTTGTCAAAACCCAGCAAAACCCCTGGTGAACATCAAAATAGGTGGCAAAGGGATGTTCATCCACCCCAAAATGGAGCCATAGGTTATGCCCCATGGTCATTTGAGTCAGTCCTGCCTTGACTCGTCCGGTTCCTGCCTTGTCTTCCTTCTATGGGTTGATTCCCCATTCTTTTCAGCCATGTTCTTGTCAAAAACCAGCCATTCCCCCGGGGTTTTTGGTGGTTGAAAGAATGGGGAAGTTACCCCTAGATTCCTGTCCAGTTCCTTGGTTTTTGACAACCTTCAAGTCCTTCATCTGAATTCGTTGCCATGTTGGCGCAGGATTTGACGGGTATTCATGAAGCAAGGTCTTGCTGGTTCGAGACATGCAGGGGCCCTGAGAAACGTGTGGTGACCACAAGAAAAAGCCATCCCCTATGATTCCCTTGATTCGGGAATCCCCCTTCTGAGCACCAGCAAGTTTTAAGGAACCCTAAGCTAAGGGCAACCTACCTGGGCGCGTTCACAAAAACAACTTTGGTTTTCATGTTGGTTTCCTTTAGGTGTTCTTTTGGTAAAATAGCCGGGTTTTCCTGGCAAATGGAATTCAACTCATCTAGTTCTAGTCAAACTAACCCAGCAAGGACGGGCTACTCATCGACTCTGGGGTGTATGCAACATCGGCGCTCTCCTTTTCTTCCGCTGGTATGAAGCTAAACACAAATCAAAGATAGTCCAACTGTAGCTTCTGAAACAAAAGGAATGGTACCAAATTCGAGTGAAACCTCTTGGAATACCAAATCTGAACTGTGGTGTTCCAAACTTCAAAGGCGCCCAGCTAAAAAACTTGAAGGAGCCAAAACATAGGTTTCCTTTTTGGAAAAAAGATGGTCCTGGTAGATTATGAAATAACCAATCGGTCAACCAGGAATCGCCAGTTATTTTCAACTAAAACAACCAAAGAGGACACCTACTGTGGATAGACGAAATCCTGCGCCACCTAAGAAACCCTGAATGATACGATTCCCCTGTAAGTACCGACAAAAAAGGGCTCAACCATGGTTTCGTTTCGTGGTGCGATTTCGGCCATGGGTCAATATCCATATCGTAACCCCAGTGAACATCCCAATCCCCACTAAAATAGGTTCTAAAATGGGTGGTGAATTCACCTACCCTAAAATGGGATCCCAAAACGGTTTTGACAACCACGGCCATTTGGATGTGGCTCAACATTAAACAGGAGGGGTTACGCAGGTTTAGGTCCATGCTTCCACTTACCCGGGTTCCATTTGGTACCGGTCTTTTGACCACCACAGCTATTTCTGGATGTCGCAACCCATCCCTTCGTATCAGGAGCCCAAGTCAGTGTCCTTCAGCTGCGTCTGAACTATGGCCAGCTCTTTGGCTAGCGAGGAGGACTGGTCCCGGACCTTGGCCCCGACGCGAGGCCCGCTGGCACTTTGCAGCAACTGGGCTGATCCCCTGATCCCCTGCTCATGCAAGTGAATAACTGAAGAACTTTTAGTGGCTTCAATGGAAACATATGGAAACCATGAAACCAAGTAAAAACAACGGAACGTCTAAGGAACGGGGCGGCTGGAACCGCCAGACTATGTTGCCACTGGAACAGTGCCTGAAGAGTTCAAGTGACTAGATGTTGAATGCTGGGAATAAAACGGTCTGCGCCGGGCGGAAAAAAAGTATGGGCTTGGTGAAGGGTCTGTGACTCATTCCCTCCAATGTCCTTTAAAATAGATGGGTTTCCCTGGCAAAAAGGATTAAACCAATCTAAAGCAGTGGAACCCATCTATTTCTAAATCAAACTAACCCAACCACGACACTCTGATTCCCTCCCTTTGCACTTGGATATCAACACAATTTCCCAGCAACCGACTCAGTGACTGAGGCAGCCACCAGCTTCCACTGGATGTGAGCCAGCTCAGCCTCTTAGGAACTGGGCTGAACGGCTTGGGGGTCACTTGGCAGCAGTGATGATGAGTTCATGCTACGTTCTACACATTGGGTTACAACGGTTACAACGGTTACAACCTAATTCATAACCAATCTGAGAGCGCCCAGTACATGGGCTCCGTCACCGATCTCATCATGGGCCATATGAACCAACTTGCAGGTTCCATCCGTTTGGTCCACCTCAGACCCTAGATGTTGATTGCAAGCCAGTTGCAAACGAATGCCTGCTTCTCGTCAACCGACTGGAGCTGCCGTTGCCACCTGAGCGACCAGCGAACAATTTCACAGCATGTTGTCTGATCCTTACAGCTGTAAATCAAATCAGGGTTGGTGGGTACACCGCATTTTGCTCCTCTCATGCAGATCATTCTAGCGGTAAAATTACAAAAGCGTAGGCAAATCAAGGAACCGTAAGCGTGTCAAAAAGACAACATGCCTGCACATCCTTGCCGGAGTCCCAAGTTGGCTAACCTGGGCGCGCGTTCTTACCGATGGCTGTCTGCTCGGTTTTTCGTGCATCCGCCCTTCGGATCGGCGATGAGAAAAGTTGGGCTGCCCTCAGATCCCCCGCTAAAAGTTTAACTTTTAGTTGGTGAAATGGAAACTACCACTAAACACTAAAAGGCTACAAAGCTAAGGGGATGGCTGGGAGCCACCAAGAAAATATTGGCATTGAAGACATCCAATTCTGTGTCACCTGCTAGAAGTGTCTTCCAGAAAGCATCCAATGTCGGAATGGTCCTCTGGTCAGTCAGGAAAAACGGCCGCATTCTCGGAACAATGCAGGCTAAGAACCTCCAAGGTTCTACGCATCTTTCATGAGGGTGGCAAGAACCTTTCGTGGGGGATAGGTGTTCCCTAGAATTTGAATTAGGCCCTTTCTCTTGGATTTCGGACCAAAAGTCTTCCGTAGCAAGGTGGCAAATCTGTCATCCTGGAAAGTCGGAAAGTCTTGTGCCGGTAAGGTGGCGAATTTGTCCGCAAAAACCGAACAACTCCCTGGCGAGCTGCGACAAAGCAAAACGTCGCAAGCGAGCGGGCGAAAGGCGAGATAATCCGAGCTCCGAGCTCCTCCTGGCGCCGGTTCACCACCCCCAGCGTCGCCTTCATGGCCTGTCAGGTTCTCAGGTTCTCAGGTGAGGCGGCGCCTCAAACTTGAAGGGCTTGGTTTTTGCAGACTGCCGCAAAAATGGGTAGGTGTTTGAATCTGAACGCTTGGCGGCTTCTTTTTTTCGGGATGTCAACTTGTGCAAACCCCGGCAGTTGCGCACGGCTCCCCAACTTCGCAATCCAATGGGCGCGTCATTTTTGAGAGTACCCCTGTAGGTACACAGGGACGCCCAAGGGAACCCTCCCCCCCCCATTTTGAGGGTTTCCCCATGTTGACAACCCAGATGGCCCGAACGCTTCTTTCCAAGAAGCAGACTGTTTGTGTTTGTTTAATTCCGGCATACAAGGTTCATGGACATCTTGCAGCCAAACTGAAACCAGTGGAATCCATCGACCAAATTGACCTAAACAGGACACCCTGCACACTCCGGGGCTAAATGAACCCCGAAGCGGATTTTGAGGACCCATCCACAGTGTCCCTATCCTCTGGTGTGTTTTGAGGCTGAGCAGCCTTTTGAGGCCGACAAAGCAAAACCAACAGGAGAACTGCCCTTTTGGGGATGTGGATGTTGCTTCTCACGGTTGTTTCCTCTCATTTTCACAAAGGTAGGACCTACCTGCAGCGGCCCTCTCTGTTGATACAATCCTGCAGGCTTCGATTTCAGCGTAATGAGTGCCTAGAGTTTCTCTCCTGCCGAGGCGTATCCCGGCATCGACCCAAAACGACCTAAACGGCTCCGGCACAGATCGCCGCAAAAAATCGGGGAACCGTGGCCTCTTGGTCCTCGAAGTCGTCCACAGTGGCCAGCCTAAGGGAAGTTGGGGGCTGATGGGTTTGGTTTAACCTATGGTTTCCTAGTGTTGCTGACAACAAAGAATGGTTTATTTCCTATCGTTCCAAGAATTTGGTTTCAACTCTGGTTCAGATTGTTGCGAACGGATTCCGTCCATCCACAGTATTCTCCATGTTTTGACCCACTCCCTGAGACGAACAGCCGGAAGTTTCCCCGATTGGCCGATCCTGTAAATGGAACCGAGTCTTAAGGGGTCCGTTCGGGAGCTTCCATGCTAGTCTGGGGGAGGGTATTTGGAATTGGTTTGGGGATATGAACATGGAGTTGGAGGAAATGTGTGGATGCTTGGAATTGAAGGTCCATGAAAGGTGGAAGGCAATTTTGGGGTGTAAAAAGGGTCCCTTGGTACCTCATGAGGATATCCTCATGAGGTACCAAGGGACCCCTTTTTACAGCCATTCTCATGAGGTACCAAGGGACCCCTTTTTACACCCCAAACTTGCCATCCTCATGAGGTACCAAGGGACCCCTTTTTATACCCATCCTCATGAGGTACCAAGGGACCCCTTTTTACACCCCGAAATTGCCATCCTCATAACGCCCTTTACAGCCAAACTGAGGCGGAGTGAGGCAAGCCAGTGTAGGTCTGCAAAGTTTCTACTGTGAGAAAGACGCCTTGGATTTACGGCTTCAATCCAAACCGACGAGGTTTACCCCTTTTCGAATCGGACGGACAGAATGCGTGCTTGCGCATGGCAAGCAGGCTTGAGCCGCCAGCGATTGCTGCGCGACAGGTTCCGCCTGGCGTTCAAGAAGCACATCCACTGGAAAGAAAGCGATCATGCTTCAGAAGAAGTCAGTAGAGTACCTACTGTATGGCTGGTGCATACCCTGGCTCGAACCAAGCGAGACACGTTTGGGCTGTTTCTTAGATGGCCTGGCTAAAGGCTTCACCCCCAGCCGGAAAACTCTGGACATTTGCGGAGGCCTCCCTGAAAGCTGCCCCAAACCCCAGAGCCTGCCTGTCGACCCATAGCTTTCAGCTGGGGAAGAATTGGCTTCTAACAGTTCCCGCACCGGGGAAAGCTTTGGGGGGGCACACCAAAGGCCAGCCCAAGTTGGAAGTCTTCGCACCAGCGCGAGGTGACTCGCCTGCATGCAGCGACAAGGCGACTCCGTGCTGGGGTTGCCGCAATTGGGGCAAGCCCGTACCTGGATCAAGCATTGATGTGGGTGTGTTGAGTGAGGGTACCCTTTAAGCTTGGGTTTACAGGACACCAATAGTACAACAACCTTTTTCCCCAACAGCTCAAAGCTATGGGGTCTGCCCAGAAAGGCTCTGGAGTGGTTTGGGGCAGCTTGGAGTGAGGGCTCCGGAGGGTTCCCTGTTTTGCTACTTCAACCGAATTGGTATACATTGTCATGACATATCATGCCTATCGCGTACTGTTCACGTCAGCTTCAGGGTTGGCAATTGAATTGATGATTCAACCACAATTGGGTGATGCCGGAAGAAGCACGCTTCCGGAACCGCAGGAAGCGACCATGTTCGCAACCAAGTCACTTGCAAAGGTTTAAACAAAATGCCCGAAATATCGCCATGGTCAAAACACTTGTTCTAGGTCACGATTCTGTTGCTAGGAATCTCCAACAGTTTGATAACCATCCCTACCCCGAGTAAAGGTGTAACTTGACTATGGCACATGCATCCGGACAAACTGACCTTGGGCTTGGGTTGACACCGAACCGTAAAGTTGACAAGAGGTAGAGTCAACTTGCCTGTGAAGTTTTCCGTCACAACATGTGCGAACATGTCAAACATCCAGTCCAGCATTGCGGCTACATGTCCTTTAACATGTCAGAGAGCCAGTTGATTCGTCCGCCAGCTGTTTGTAAAGACCTATAAATCAATGAACCAGCAAACAAGCAACCAAACAAATATCAAAATTCAATAACAAAAAGTGCCTACCCCAAATCGGAACTCTGGCAATCTAGTCCCATCCATGTGATTTTGCGTCACACAAAACGTCATCCGCAGGAATCTGTCGCACCGGGGTGGTTGGCTCCCGCAGCATGTCTTCAGCACCCCTGAGCTGATCAGAGCTGATCTTTGGGATCTTCGGGATCTGTTCCACTGTTGGGTGGTTTGAAAGGAAAACCAAAAAAATAAAACCAGCATGTTTTTCTGGGGGGGGGAGTGTCCCCTAAAACTCGACTCATCTTTGAAATCCTTGGGAAACCATTTTGTCATGATATGTCCCGAAGCAGTTTGCCTGATTTGACACCGGCCCAGAGGCAAAATGCTGCAATTTGAGGTGTTTATGCCCTTCAGCCTTTCCAACGGAACACCTCCCCGGTGCACAGCGCGAAGCAATGGCGCTAACAGGTAACAAACTCCGCAAGGACTCTATCTTCATCGGCACGGTGTCTAGCAGCCACAGACTGGCTCAAAATGGAGGGCATCCTATTTGTTGCAATCCGTCATCCGCAGTGACGCACATCTGACACAAGGATCTTGCAGCAGACCTCCGGATAAAAACCAACAGGGGGGCATCAGGGGTGGCTGACCTGCAACTGTTTTCTATGATACATCGCTTACAAGCAACTTACTTGGCCATGGGTCAAAATCCCGTACCCCCGGTGAACATCCCAATCCCCACTAAAACAGACCAAAATGGCCAAACTGGTACCATTGGTGTTGACCCACAGCCACTTGGGTTCAACACTGAGCTCCAAGGGCCATCAGAATGTGATCCGACTCTTGAGCCGCGCAATTTCGGACGTTCTCCAGTACACCCTTACTAAACCTCCAGTAAACCTCACTTCCTGAGTTCCTGAGTGGATGGGCATGAACTTCTTTCTCAGCAAAATGGTCTAAGCCCAGCAATTCCAGACCCCAGACCCCGGACCCTAGGCGCCGGCAAGCCGTTCGGAGCTCTCCGCGCGGACCGCGGCTTCGCAGCATATGGGAGCCGAATGTCAGCCATGGCTGCGGAAGACGGACAAGCGACAAATCAAAAATGGGCACTCGCTGGAAATGGACGTGTTTTGTTTTCAGTTTTTTTCTGGTTGCCCGTTTTGGGGTGGTTAAAAGGGTGCTCGGCGCCTTCCTTCATTCCCTTTACCTTCATACACCTGTCTGGTTTTGTTTTCTGGTTTTTTCTTTTTCTGGGTGCCCGATTTGGGGTGGTCAAAGCAAAGAACCTGGCTTTGGGCCCCTATGACACATACCCCTCATTTGGAGTCAATTTGGTTCGGCGCCAAGCAAACCTTCGGGTTGAAACTGAGGAATGAACTAAATCTCGCAACCTCTCGAATTGCCACCGTCATCGAATCGCAGGAGCCTCTTGAATCTCACAAGAAGAGCAAGCAAACCGCCATGGCATGCCCAGATTCTTGAGGGCATTTTTTCTGGGACAGCACAACTAAACAGAACGTCCTTCTCTTCGCATCTTTCTCGGCACTGCAAGCGGTTCGCTTGTGACACGTGAGCGCCAAGCGCTGTGGCTCGTTGAGCGTCAGGTGGATGCGCTGAAGGCTACTTTGTGCCATCATCCGCCTTGGCACATTGTTTTTTTTGCTGAACTAGGTCCTCCAGTAGAGAGGTTAAGATAAGGGTAGCCTTTTTCCTGTAGTCTATTTTAGGAGGGGAACCCTCCCAACCAAAAAAGGGAAGAGAAGGGCACTACTGGGGGACCTAGTAAACGTTACATTTTTGGTTGGACATGTCATAAACTCCACGCGCAACAAGTCTAAACGTCAAAGAGAATGATTAATCGGAACCGCCAAGCCACACTGCCGCATGTTCATTGCGATCCTCACACCGGGCCGCGAGCAACGGAGCGGCGGGCACGCCCAGTCTGCCCAACGTCGCCACAACGCGGGCGCGCACAAAACGGTCCTCCAGGATAAAACGGCCCTTACATGGTTTGAAGCACCTGATTATTCTTAAACCACCCTCTTGGCCTGACTAAGAGAACCAGGTCAAACCGGCGGACTGTAAACCTGGAAATACAAGGCTAGCCCTTTAAGAATCGACCAGGTGGAAAACAACAGTCAAAAGGTCGATGCGCTTTGGACAAGTGAGAAACCAATTTGGGTCTGACTTTTTGAAGGAGACCCACCAAAATGGTGGGTTTCCTTTTGGTTCCTTTCAAGCCAGACCAAAACGGACGGTGTACGTGAAAGAAAGACGGACCCATTTTGCAGTCCTCGTCTTGGAGCAGTGGGGCGGTGGAGGAGAGCACGTCTGCGCTGTGCACGGTCGCCATGGCGGCCATGGCACGCGCACAAACGTGGGGGCAGCGATCCTTCAAAGCCTGGCTTCGGACCGCGTAGCTCGGGGAAGAGGGCCAAACAATCCGACTGGGAACATATACCCACATTGACTTTCGAAACGGGGCAAATGCTTGTATATATATATATTATCCTACATGGATTGTCTGGGTCTGTTCAAAGAAGCCCTGGAAGTTGAAAGCGCCTTTTGGTTCCCTTTTTCCACAAGGGAACCCTGGGTGTGGTCACTTTTGATCACAAAATGTAGCTTTCTTGGGGTGATGTGAAAGGGAGCTTGAAGGAAGCACCGATTTTAGGCTTGACCCGCATGGGTCGTCTCTCTCTTGGGGTTGTGTTAAGGGGAAACCAAACACAGAAACCGCCTTTTGCCGGGGTCGCCCCATTTCCCTGGGTGAATTATAATATCACCAGCCTGGAATAAGGTGGTTTGGGGGTATTCCCCACATAAACCACCATTTGGGGTGAATTCGGTCGTGTAACGTCGCTATAATTCACCCAGATTTGGCTGTGGCTCAAAAAACCGGTACCAAAATGGAACCCTGGTAAATGGAAACATGAACCAAAACCTGCGGTTTGCCCCTGCTGTTTAATTTTGAGCCATACCCCATTTAAAGACAGACCCACGTTTCACCCCGCGCGCCTGGCTGAGGGCCGTCAACGCGGCCCTGTCGCCGTGGGGCAGCAGCACAGCGATGCCGTCCGCGGCAGCGCACCGCACCTCGGCGCTGTGGTCGCGCTGCAGGACCTCTGCGAGGAGCGCGCCACAAGGCCTTGGCCGTTGATCCCGTTGTGCTGACTGAAAGAACTATCGGAGGGCCCCCAACCCCATACTAATAAACAGGGGTTGATTCATCTGGAGTCAACATTACTTGGTCCCCCAGCTAGGTGCCCTTTTGCCGTTTCTTTTTTGGGGGAGGGTTCCCCTACTAAAATAGAATACATTTGAAAAAAAGTTGGTACCCTTATTCTAACCTCTCTACTGGAGGAACTAGTTGCGCTGACTCGAAGAACTCAGGGGCTGACCATCACTCCGAAAAAACCAAAGATTGACCTGTGGCACTTGGTCGCGGATTTGCCATGGTTCTATTCTTCTTCGGTGTTTTTTCTTCCGGAGGGTACGCCCTTAGCCAAATTGAGGCGGCCAAGTGGTTGTTTGACCCCTTGCTAGACTTGTGGGATACATCACAAAAGATGTACCCCTCAAACATCGCGCCTGGAAGGCACCTTCAATGTGCTCAAGGGACCCCTGGGCGGCATGGCAACGTGAGAGAAATCCTCTAACTGCCAAGAGGCGTCAGTGGACCGAGGCAAGAAAGACCAGCAATGGCGACCCTGCGGACAGGCTTGGGCTTGCTACAATATTATGCTAAAACCACAATTTGAAGAACCTCCTTCCGCGTTTCAGACAGTACTTGGGATTGTGAACATGGGAAAAAATGCAGTTGCTGAGGGGTGCTGGTTTTTAAAGGTGGCTGTTTGAAGAGTTCTGTGTAAGCAACCCTGCCTGCGAAGCTGCCAGCATGGATCTTGGATCAAGGCCCGGAAGCCGACCAGGACTTCAGACTCACAAGAAGTCACTGACCCAAGCGTCGGTCTCTCCGAGGGGCGCTGCGATTCCCTCTCGCAGTCAGCTTGAAGCCTCTCCAATCTCCCTTGCATCTGGAGGAGGAGCCTCAGCCTCAGAGTTCAAACAGCTAACGGCAGAAGGGCCCAGGCTGAACAGCTTAACTCATAGATACGGACCATTGAGGCAAACTAAGCTTGTCCCACACACCAACTCAAGGCTTGACTTGTTCATGACAAACATAGCAACCGTGACCTCGAGCTCAGCGTCTTACGCAAAGCTAACATCTAGCATGCTCAAACACATTTCATGGCAACAATGCCAACCTTATGCGCGAACTAGATTCAATCAACATGCAGGAGCACCTGGCAACCAAACGCAACCTATACCTACCACCTCAACAGGAAATGCCTTGTACATCTGGGCTGGAGGCTGATCTGAACGATGTACACAGTTCGTCCAGTTGGCATTTCCAGCAAAACAACCACCAATATGGAACACAAACGCCGTCACTTATGAATGAGCATGCAAGTTGGGGGGCGCACGCACATGTATCATGGTAAGGGCCTCAAAACACACAGACACAGACACAGACACAGACACAGACACAGACACAGACACAGACACAGACACAGACACAGACACAGACACAGACACAAACAGCGTCCGCCACAGCCACAGCCACAGCCACAGCCGCGGCAACGGCCACGGCCACAGCCACGGCCACAGCCACAGGCACACAGGGCCAAGAAACCGCAAACAAACGAGAACTACCGCCGGCAAACCAAAAACATCCCCAGGCGAAGCCGATACAGGTCCTGTGCGACATGCCGGGCCTTCTCCTGTTGTACTGAAAAGGGTGCTCAACAAACCTCACCCTGCTGAATGAGCTCTAAGCCGGTCAAGCAAGTCAGCAGTAGCTGGCGCAGGATCACAGTCGCCTCATCACGCAAGAAAACATCACGCCAAGTCTGATCACTGAAGCCAAGGACAGGTGAGCCCGATTACCCAGAGTTTGGAAGGCATTACTGTTCTGGTTTAGCGCCGGAGAACCTGCCATCGGGAAACAGGTTTCGCAAAGTCGCTCTACAGCCACACAGAAGGTCAGGTGCTTCCATAGAGACAGCCCTCAAACCTGGGTTGAGACCGGAGCCACACCGCCGCACCAAGGCCTGCAAAAGCTCTGAGTGGATGGTCGGATGCACGACCCTGCAAGCCTATGGAAGGTTGGCGTAACGTGCCACGGGAAGCAATGTCCTATGGAACTGTGGAGAAGCCGAGAAACTCTGAAAATTCATGAAAATTCATGGCCTTTTTTAGCCCAAACTGGTGCCTTTCCCTAAACTCCCCTTCAAACCAATCCATCACCCAAAACAAACACAACCATATGGGAGCTGGTCCTTTTGAAGTGTGCACACCTTTTTGCGTGATTTTTTTCCCAAGAAAGAATGAAACGCAGGGTGAGCCTTTGGGACGTTAGGTCCATGTCGGGTCCCCCGGCTTCTTGGGCTCCACCGCCACCTCCCGCGCCCGGCGCCGCAGCTCCGCGGCGCCGCGCCGCAGCTTGGCCGCCCACAGTGCCGCGGCCAGCCGCGGCGCCGCGGCGGACCTCAGCGGCCGAAGCGCGGCGGCGCTGGCCAGGAGGCGCCGCAGCTCACCTGGGCCGAAAACCAAACCAAGGGGGGGGAAGGCCCCTTGGAAAAGATTCTTCCATTTTGGTGAAGACCCCTGGGAAAATATGAAAAAAATGTCCAGTGGTGATAGATTGAAACCAACAGGGGAAAATGAAAAATAAGCCGAGCCGAAACCCAAACCCAGGCAAGGGAGGCCGAAGATGCAAATCACATTTTCAGACGTCCCCCCCCCCATTTCGGGGGTGGGGATGTTGTTTCCTTTTTTCGGGCGCTTGGGGTGCTTGGGTCTGGGGAGACCTTGGGATGGCTGAAATCGGCAGTCTGCATTTGGTACTGGAACTGCTGCAACCGCTCTTTCAACAGGCGTAGGGCGCTGCAGATATTGGAATGGTTTAGCCATGCGCAAACATCAGCTGCTTACTAGTTCTTTCGTCTACCTCGGTGGCCCTTCTCGTCAGCACCAGCCCAGCCTACACAGCCTGCATCAGCATCACTGGCATGCCCATGCGACGATGCAAGCACAAGTATCACCGGTCACGTCGGTTCCAATTTTCACATTGCCAACATGTGGAAACCTTGTTCCGCAGGAACATCACAGAGATTGAATTACAACACCCGAAATGAAACCAGGCACCGGCAAAAAGTCAGAAACTACCAATTGTCATATCCATGCCAAGTCGGAAACACTGGGAAACATATATGACTCTTCAGCAAGCCTTTTCTTCTGCAAGTTGCACGTACGACTGGCTCTTTGGCCCACGGCTGTAGCACTTTGCCCCGCTCAGAAGCTTCCGAGATCTGCGGCTAAGCGAAATAACGGTGACGAATGTGAAGGGCAAAACCTCTGCGGGGTAGCACTGCGAAAGTTTCAGGACACTGTTAATATGCGATTCAACACGCATGTAGATCGAACATCCGCTGCATGATCTGCTTATTTTCTACCTCGACTCCAATCTTTGGACATCCAAAGTAACACCTAGAAGAACCTCGCTCTGCGCAGGATTTGCTGGCACTACGCACCAAGCCTTGTGCCATGGTCAAAGCTCCGAATTGGTGGGAGGTGATGATGGCCTATCTGCACTGTCTGAAACGCCTGGGTGATGACCATCCTGACCAACCCCGTGTAAAGAAAGCGGTATTGAGGTCAGCCCCTAGAAAGAACCATGACCATGCTTTGCCAGAACTCAAGCATGGCGCCGACCATGTCCAAAGAAGTCAATCTCTCGCAGACCATTATAGGTAACTACATATGGCCCTTTTTCCTTCTACTATACGGGTAAGTCGGATCACTGCTCACTTCCTGAGCGGGTGGCCCAACAAGGTAACCAAACTTTGTGTATGCCACTAACATGGTCTTTCGATAGAGTACAACGCCCATGAACTCAGAAAGTGAGCCTGGAAAATAGAATGTGCTGCCAAGAACCCATGGCAAGTGCTAAATGAGCAATGTCATCCCCCGATCCAGCAAAAGCAGCTTCACTTTTGCGGGGTAAACCAACCTTAGCGAGGTACCAAGAAACCTGTAGCACTAGTACAACCCCCCCATCAACTCAAAGGCTGTTCAGTGGTGATTCTCTTTGTTTGGCACGCTTTTTGGGAGCTCGTTGAAAGGCAAGCAACTGGGTGACTCGCCCATTTTGGGGGGTCCGCCATGGCGTGTCGTGGGGGGTGATCCAATCCAAGCCTGGGTCACGTCAGTTGATTCAGCAAAAAACCCAGTGGTTTGTCCCCAAAAGGAAAAAATCCCATCGAATCCTGTAATTTGGGGACCTCTGGTTTCAAAGTTTGAAACGAGGTTTTTGGGCCCACATTAACGGAAAGGCCAAAAGGCTCAGGGACACAGCGGCGCGCCTTCCGCGCTTGGCGCAGATCGGCACTCGAGGCGCGGTATGGACCGATCATCTGCCAAGGTGCCTCACAAACCGCGCATCCGTGTGGCATTGTTGACCTTTCCAAAGCTTAAGCCCCGAGTCCTTGGGGATCGACACTCCTCCAAGGTTAGTGCCGACGTTGTTGTCAGGGGGGGGAGGTGGTAGGGTCCCCTGACAACGAACCTAGCAGGGTTGTCCTGAGTCGTTCCAAAAGCTTTGACCTTTTGTCTGGGGTCGTGCTGCTTTCCTTGAGAGCGGCAGAACGTCTACCTAGACGTGCTAGGGATTCGGACAGTCACATATCCACGGCTTGGTCTGCCAGCGGATTTTTGGATTCCCCGGGTGGGTCGCTTCCTTACCTTTCCCTTGTGCTTCCAGCTCCTGGAACCAGGGGAAGCCATCATGTAGGTATGTGTAAAAGTACAGAACGGGACCCTGGCAGTGCGCTTCTTTGCTCCCGTGACTCTGCCATGGCAGTTGCACTTGATCCAACAAATACAGAGGAAACATTTTGAGAAAACCAGACAACTTGAAGAAAGAAAATAAACAAACTTGAGGAACACCCAAAAAAACAAAAACGTAACCTTGAGAATAAACAAATCCAAACTATGATTTGCAAACTCTCCATCGCCGCTTGGTCTTCCCGCTCCTTCTCTCTCTCTCTCTCTCTTTCTCTCTCTCTCTCCCGCTCTCTCTCTCTCTCTAACTGGCTGAGGCAGCGGCCGCGTTCCGCACATGCCGCAACGTCCCATGGGCCACATAGTCAGAGGCCGCGCTTGTGGTCGAGAGTTCCCATGGGATTCGCGTCGGGTCGGGCTGGATTTTCCCAGGCATCATTACCCCACTGCAAGTGAACAAAAAACCAGCTGCGCACAGCTACGCATGCAGATTGCGCGATCAAGTTGAGGTCCGCATCATGCCCTGTCGTTCGAATGCCTTGTTCCGCAGCAGGCAAGTTGACATTCGGTTGCGACTTTGCCTGAAATGTCGACAAAAAACCGTCAAACCGGCTCTCGTCCATTCTGCTGACCACGCAGCACGCTTCCCTCAACGCAACATTTTGGTCATCTGAAAACGTTTCGTTTCGAGGCTGGTATTCATCCCTGAAGCCAAGCGCTCACTTTGCGGGATGAGGATATGGGACTACAACTGCCCCTGTGCAGTCATCAAGCCCACATCAAACCTGCAAGCCAGCACACGCCGGTCAGCTTGTAGAACTGCATGCTAGACTGCTTGCGAGCGGGTTATCAGAATGCGGGGGCGCGCGTTTTCACGCGCGGCGCACGCGTCTGGGCCGCTGGGTCCAAGATCGCGACCCTGGCGAATCCATGCCTTGAAACAGAGGCTGCTTCATGTCTCCTACATGGCGAGAGTCAGGAGTCAAACAAGGAGTCTCCATGTTCCGGGCTTCCACCCAAGAGACTAAACCGAAGTTTTGCACACAAAACTCAAGCTCCGGAAATACGCTTGCAACTGCCGCGCACAGTGACTATGGGGCTGTGGAACCTTGGGTTGCATGCGCCACCGCCTCGCGTTAACACAGTTGCATCTTACTCTTCGAAGCCGCTTGGAACACCGGGCTTTGCCAAA